AGGCAGTCGCCAAACCGCTGAGCCACCCAGGGATCCCCCTGTGACTAGATTCCTAAGTGTTTTTGTAGAAACATGTATTTATTTATTAATTTAAAAAGGTTTTTAAAAATTTATATGGCAGAGAGCTTGAACTGAGGGGAGGGGCAGAGTGGGAGGGAGAAGCAGGTTCCCTGCTGAGCAAGGAGCCCGATGTGGGGCTCGATCCCAGGACCCTGAGATCATGACCTTGGCCGCAGGCAGAAGCTTCACTGACTGAGCCATCCAGGTGCCCCTTTTTATTTTTATTTTTTTCTTTAAACATTTTATTTATTTATTTATTTATTTATTTATTTATTTATTTATTTATTTATTTATTTATTTATTTATTTATGATAGTCACACAGAGAGAGAGAGAGAGGCAGAGACATAGGCAGAGGGAGAAGCAGGCTCCATGCACCGGGAGCCCGACGTGGGACTCGATCCCGGGTCTCCAGGATCGCGCCCTGGGCCAAAGGCAGGCGCCAAACCACTGCGCCACCCAGGGATCCCCATCCAGGTGCCCCTTAAAAATTATTTTTAATAAATCACATTTTTCCCAAGTCACTGTTCCGTCTTGTAGCTTCAAAGCTGAGAATGGGTCTTCCCAGCTTTGTAGGATTTCTTTGTGGGATTCCATTTGTAAGCCTCTGCATTTCATTTGGGATCATGGACTGGTTCAGGTCTGTATTAAACACGTTCTGTGTAGGGTATCCTGTGGTTCTCTAGCTCGTGTCTGAAAGGCCTCGGACGGGCGGGTACAGGTACAATCATAGTCGATTACTCCCATTGCCTACAGTTTACCGGGAGTTGCTATTTCTTTCTCAATGTTGCAACCTGCAATGACCTCGTGAAGTGTGGTTGGCACTTCTTTGGAACTAGTAAGTTCATTGGAGCTGCGGTCTGAGGGATTGAGGCTAGAGTGAGGGGTTGGGGTCTCCAGGAGAGGGCTGACCCCCATCATTGCAATGAGAAAGAGTCTTTAAAAAACTACAGTAGGGATCTGTAAAATGTTTTTTGTCCCACTTTTAGGTCACTACTGTGTAAGGTTCCTCTTTCCTCTTCGGGGTACCTGGGTGGCTCAGTTGGTAGATAAACTTCCTCTTTGTTTTTTTCTTTTTTTAAATCTTCAACTCTCCAAAGTTTTTTTTTTTTTAAGATTTTATTTGAGCGAGAGTGAGCAAGCATGAGCAGGGGGAGGGGAAGAGGCAGAGGGAGAAGCAGACTCCCCACTGAGCAGGGGCCCACGCAAGGCTCCAACCCAGGACCCCGGGATCATGACCTGAGCCAAAGACAGACGCCTAACTAACTGAGCCACCCAGGCACCCCTAAAATTAGAAAATACAGATGAGCAGACCCTGATATGATACCCCGTGCACAGATCCCTCTGGAGCCCTCTTGGCACAAACCATCTTTATGTCCCCCACGAAGACCGGGCCCCTATCTACATGCCTCACAGTCATTTTGAAGGGCTGCTGGTTGCAGGAACACAGCTTCATGTAAACGTGTGGCCTAGAGGGAAGGATACCTGCGGGTCCTGGCCTGCTTGCCTCCTGTTCTGTGAGCCTGTCCTCCGTGCTTGGGCTCCTGCGAGGGTCTCCTGCGAGATTCTGACTTCAGATCTTTGAGTCTGGTTTGTTAGCCTTTGTAGCGACTCTTACAGAAAGCTAGGTGGAATGGTGGGTTTTAACTGAGGGCTGTAGGCTTTCCCACCCAGTCCCCCTGTGTGGATGCGAGGGCCTTGGTGCCAGGACAGCTTGGTTGTGGCCTGTGTGGAGCGCTGTGTGCCTCTCATGCTGGCGCTCGGCAGGTGCGCTGTGTGTGCCGGTCCTTAGGGTACTTGGAACCTTTATGAAGGTGGGAGGGGCTTTGTCACCCACTTGGCGGGGGATGAGTGGCAGCTTGAGCAAAGTCAGTAGCTGGCAAGTGGTGGTGAGCGGGCCTTGGCCCGGGGGCCACTCTGGAGTCAGGCTTCTCTTCTGTCCACCACTGGTGGTGGGGGCACCTGGCTCAGTCTTAGCTGGGCCTGTTCCACAGAACACACATCCTCCCATCTTACTGTTTGGTTTTGACCATAAAGGAAAGGGCCTTTGATATGTTACGCAACTCAGACCCTGTGTTGGGTGGGGTGCCTCAACGGTAGAATAAAAATAAATAAAGAGCCTGCAGGAATCTGTAACCTGGGCAACCCCATGCACGGGGAGCACGGTGGCCGACCACGCAGCTCTTACCTGGTGCCACCAGGTGACTCATTCACCCTCTAATCTCCTCCCATCCCAAATTATCTCTGACCTCTGTCAGGGCAGCACATGTGTTCTATAGTCTCTGTGTCGCTGGCAGGCTGTCTCTTCAGCCTCTGGTAGCACCTGCTTCTGCACCCCGTGGTGACCCCAGGTGTCTGTCATCCAAAGCTCACGATGGATATGTAAGTGGGGGCGCATAGGGGAGTCAGTGGACAATGCTGTTGGCCTTGCCTGGTCGTTTGTGTAGAGGTCAAATTCCTGATTTTTGCATAGAGCATGTAAGGTAGAGACTTTTTTTTTTTTCTATTAGGTAGAGACTTTTTTTATACCTGACATTGGGCCCATTTCTGTCATTAAATGTAATGACAAACTTGTAAACGTTTTGATATTTAGATACAGAGGTCAGTTATTTGTTTTACGAGTGATAATACCTACACATGAATGTGGGCAGTGTGCCCTGAAACCATCTTGCTGCTGGAGAAACACAGAGGCACGTCCTCTCTGGGGGCCGGTGCTCTGCACCTTGTAAAGAGGGTAATTTGAAACGGCACGTCCATCCTCACCCTTTGGCCCCTTTGCCTTGGTCACTTTGTGGTGGTGAAGGCTCTGCAGGTGAGAAGACAACTCTTGGAGCAAGTTGCTTTGTTAGGAAGCTGGCCCGTGCTCCTTCCTGAGGGTGCTTGTGTGAGGGGCACCTGGATGCCGGGCAGGACCCCATCTGAAGGCTGGCCATGTCGCTCTGGGTGTGGGTGACGGGCTCCTCGCTCCGTGGGCGGTTCCCTGAGGGCGATGGGAGAGAGCTCTGGCCTGGCGGCCCCGCTCCGATTGGGTCTGGACCCACACTCCCTCCCACTGATGAAGTCCAAGTGTGGGAAAGGTGCTGGTCGGCACTGTGAGGTGTTGTGCACGTGAGGGGACCCCGTGCGACTGCCGGAACCTCAGGAAGGACCGCGGGCCGTTGCCAGGCGGGTGGAGAAGCAAGCTGCAGGGCCGCCGAACCCCACGGTGCCACCTGGCGGGCGGGCACGGACTGTTGATGGGAGCGGAGCCTGCACAGATTCAGAGCAGATGTGCCCGGCGAAGGAAGCCGGACAAAAGGAGCGTGTGGCTCCCCTGTGTGGAGAATTCTAGAAAACTCAGTCTAGCCACTGGTGACTGGCGGAGGAGGGGACTGGGCAGGGGCCTTCTGGAGTGGTACGAGGACACTCCGGGGTGATAGCTGCCTCCGCTATCTGGTTGCGGCGGTCGGGGCATGGGTGTGGACATGTGTCAGAGGTCCTCACCGTCTGTGCTTTAACGAAGTGTGCTGTATGGCGTGTCACACTGGGGTGTAGGGATGTTTCTAAAAAGGCATTTTACGTGCTTTCCTCTCAGGGAGCTAGGCTTTTAGAACAAGATGCTAAGGCTTGGGCAGAGCCCAGCTGTTTGCTTCCGCGGGGCCGTGACAGGTGTGGGCTTCTGCGTGCGGCCTCCGTCACTTGGGCCTCGGTGAGGACGGGGCTCTGGGGAGGGGCCAGGGCCCCTGGAAGCCGCTTCTGGCAGGAGGTTGCTTGGTAACGTATCAGCGGTGGTGTCGCCTGGCCCGGCTGCTGGGTCCATGGGGCAGAGGTGATGACCTGTTGGGCCCTGAGCTCAGCCAGGGACCCCTTCCCCTGGCTTTGTGGAGGTGGAGTGACTGACCCTGATGCGTCGCTCTGTTTCTAGTGTAAGGGATTGTCTGACTTGTCAAAATAGTGATTAGGTAAATTGATGTATTTCATAAGCTAGTGCGTAGTTTATGATTCTGTGATCTCACGTGTAAGATTCTAATACCATCAATCCCAGTTGTGTTTTTTTTTTTCCAGTTGTTTTTATTGAGCTTCCGTTCTCCCATAAAATCTGGCCAGATTCCGTGGACAAGTCCGCGTGGAAGCTGCTGGTCATGGCCCGCTGCGGTCACGTGGTCCCTGCAGCCCACCCCAGATGAGCCCGAGTCCCCTCCTGGGACTGCTTCCTTGTAGCCTCCTCGTTGGGTGTGTGTCCACACCACCGCCTGTCCAGAGGGCCCGGGAAGACTCACGCAGGAAGGTACACCCGGTGTACCTCGGATCCCTGGGGAGGTGGCGGGGAGATGAGCAAGAACTTCCCACTGGGACGGACATCACAGCTGAAGGGGAGGGATGGGACGTACAGGCGTCCAGTTGTGGGATGAAAGGCGCCACACAGGGAGTACGGTCAGTGGTTTCATGAGAGCGCCAGATGCGACGGACAGCAGCTGCCCCTTCGGGGGAACCCGGAGTCGTACGTGGGGACGGATAACACTGTGTCACCTACACTCAGGTATAAAACAGGGGCCTCTGGGTGGCCCAGCAGTTAAGCATCTGCCTTCAGCCCGGGGTGTGATCCTGGAGACCCCGGATCGAGTCCCACGTCGGGGTCCCTGCGTGGAGCCTGCTTCTCCATCTGCCTGGGTTTCTGCCTCTCTCTCTCTCCCTCTCTCTCTGTCTCTCCTTTGTGAATAAATAAATAAAATCTTTTATTTTTTTTAATTTTTTAAGGTTTTATTCACTCATTAGAGACACACACACACACACAGAGAGAGAGAGGCAGAGACATTGGCAGAGGGAGAAGCAGGCTCCATGCAGGGAGCCTGATGCGGGACTCGATCTCGGGGCCCCGGGATCACACCTCAGGCTGCAGGCGGCGGTAAACCGCTGCGCCACCAGGGCTGCCCTAAATAAAATCTTTTAAAAGATAGATTGATCGATTGATCAGCTTAAAAGCCGCTGATGTGGTCAGTGAGTCCACTGAGCTGAGTGACACAGCTTTGCAGTTTGCTGACAGCAAGCACGTAGCAACTTGCCAAGTATTTTTAGGGGTGGAGACTGTTTTCTGTACCTCGGTAGAACGGCACAGGGAGCCAGAGCGAGCTGTCAGAGGCGGCCTGCGTCTCCTGCAGGATGGCCGGGGTGAGCACAGGTGACCCTTGCAGTGGCCCCACGCCAGGGCCGCCTGGAGGCGGGAGAGCATGGGCCATCCAGGCCTCTGCAGGGGCGGCCTTGCTGTCGTGTGGACCCGGGCCCCACTGTCTGCATGTTCGCGTCTCAGGTCAGAGCCCCGAAGGCCGTCCCGGCGGAGCGTGGGGAGGAGATGAGCCCCGGCAGGTCCCTCCTTCGGTCACTTGTCTTGCGGTGGCCACAGCTCCCCGGGGGAGGCGACGGACGTTGGCCCGGAGCTGTGGGTGGGGCGTTGTGGTGTCCAGCTTAGGGCCCGAACCTGTCGAGCCGGGCGCTGCTGGTGTAGTCTGCGCTGCCTCGGTGGACGGACAGACGGCCAATCCTGGGCCACCGGCCGTGGCAGCCTGGACGCCAGGCCTCACCGGGAGCACAGCCCGGCGGCACTCTGGGACGGGCTGCATCCCTCAGCGCTGACAACCAGCGGCCTCCTTGGCCCTTCCTGCCTGCCAGCTTTTCCACTTAATGATAGGAGGTAATGGCTTCCTTCTCTGTCCTCCTAGAGAGAGACAGGGCGTGGGAGCGTGTCCACACGCACGCCAGCGGGGGAGGGGGCAGGGTGGGGCGGGGTGGATTCGGAAGCTGGCTCGTGCTCAGCTCACAGCCTGCTGCAGGGCTTGGCACGGGGCTCGGGGCTCGGGGCTCAATCCCGCGACCCGAGATCACAGCCTGAGCGGAAAATGAGAGTCGCTACCCAGGTGCCCCCAAGAGGCGATAACCTTGAAGTGCGAGCACTCAAGTACGTGACGGCCGTCCCTGGTCCCCCACCTTGGCGGCCTGCTCCCTGGCCAGGCCGCCTTCCCTCGCTCTGCCCCGGCATTGACCCCCATTCGAGAGGCCACATCAGTCTCCCAAACTCTTCCGTCAGGCCCTCTGCACCGAGAACCAGGGTGGACCCGGGTGGGGGGCCCGTCTGGGCTTTGCCTTCCGACTTTCTGGTCCTCTCACCTGCATTATTTACTTTTTTTTTAAGATTTTATTTATTTACTCACGAGAGACTCGGAGAGAGGCAGAGACACGGGCAGAGAGAGAAGCAGGCTCCTTGCAGGGAGCCCGACGCGAAACTCGATCCCAGGACCCCAGAGTCACGCAGACGCTCAGCTGCCGAGCCCCCCAGGCGCCCCTCCCGCCCGCACTCTCAGCGTTCCGCAGGCCCCGGCACGGGGTACTTGGCTTCCCTTGTGTGCCTCCTCGTCCCGGGATGGGCATGTGTAGGGGCACACTCCTCTGTCGTATCTGAAAGTACCCGTCTCGTGCTGGGAGCACCAAGTGAGCGCACTGTTTGGAGCGGAGAGCCGTGCGGTGGCAGCACAGTGCCAGAGCGCACTCCGTCCTCTCCTGCCTGCTGCTCGGTCATCTTGATTGTTCCTTCCCAGACATTCTGTAACTCTTCAGTTTTCTGCAGAATTTTTAGGAACACAGAAGCAGAAACCGGCTCCCCATCTCTTTGCAGCTGTGTTCCGGGAGCCTTGGGGGCTCCCGGGCTGAGGCCTGCCCTCCCCCGCCTGCCAGTGCGCCTGGTGTCTCTGGTTTGTGGGCAGAGCGCCAAGGCATGGCCGCAGGGCCAGCAGAAGGCGGAGTGGGGCAGGTCCTGCTGCAAATGGGGTGACGTGTGCCGGTTAGGCAGGGTGCTGAGCATGACCCAGGGCCAGGCCGGAGCTGCCATGGAGCTGCCCTCGATGCGTCTTGGTGGGAACAGAGTGCGCAGGGGGGAAGCCAGCGTTGGCTGCTGTTTGCACGATGACCGGGCCTTCTGGCTTTCCTTCTAATTGAAGAGTTTGAGGGAAGACGCACGGGAGAAGGTGCTCACAGCCTCCCCTTCCCACCTGTCTGACCGCAGGTGGGGCTCGCCGCTGCTGGGGCCAGGATCTCCTGACCAGCCCTCTGCTGAAGCAGCCTCGTGCCTGGGGTCGAAGCGACGGCAGAGGCGGACGAGGTGTGCCAGGGCTGGGGAGGGACGCACTGGCCGACACGTGCTCGCTGTGGAGGGAGTGACAGGAGCCTTGCGTTCCTACATTGTTCTCTTCGCTTTTATACAAGTAAACATTTCTTAGGATAAAAAATGTGTTCAAGGACGGACCAGACTAAACATACAGAGGAAAATGGCTATGAGCACACTGCCAGGAGGATCTTTAATTCCAGGGTCAAATTTGGGGAAATTTGGGACTTTCCTTTGTCAGCTTGCATGGCTGGGGCACAAATCCCAGCCTCGGGCCAGCAGTGCTTCTGCACTGGGCTGGGTGGTGGAGGCGCAGACCTAACGCAGAGTCACACCAGGAGCACGGGCCTCAAGCTGGGTGCAGGTGATTCTGGCGTCTGGCGGAAGACGCCTCATCCAAATCCATGTCTGCTCCTGCAGAAAACTTTCCACCATAACGGCCAGTCGGCAGCGATGGGTGGCCAGACACAGAGTGAGAGCCACCGGAAGCAGGCCAGAGTAGCCCTTGGCAGAGCTCCAGACGTGGGGGTCTCCACAACCTTTAAAACGTAAGACTGTCAAGTCCAGGAATCCACGGTTGACCTCCAGGACAACAGGAGAGGAAGCGGTGATGTAGCGACTTCAGGGCAGTGCTGTGGACGGTCCACACTGGCTGCCCTGCTCCCCGGGCCCTGGTCGCACTGCTGCAGGAGCGCCTACGGTGTGGCCAGTGTGCTTGAGCAGCTGCATTTTTGATTTATATAATTTTGATTACATTTAAATATCCCATGTGGCTAGTGGCTACCATAGTGGATGCTTTGCAAAATTAAGATATACAACAGCTAAAACAAAAAAATCCCATGGATGGGGTGCTGGGTGGCTCAGTCAGTGCAGCATCTGCCTTCAGCTCCGGTTGTGACCTTGGGGTCCTGGGATCGAGTCCTGCATTGGGACTCCCTGCTTCTCCCCCTGCCTCTGCCCCACCTCCTGCTTGTGCACGCTCACTCTCTCTCAAATAAATAAAACCTTTAAAAAACAATCCCATGGATAGACTTAACAATGTGTTGATTAGAGAATGAGCCAGAAGGAGTTATGCACGGGGCTGCAAGGGGGGAGAGGGGTAGATCCGAAACCTTCATGTAGACGGGGTGCAGTGAACTCAGAGGAAGAAGTGACCCTGGAGGAGCCGCCGATGGTCCTGCAGTCTACAGGGGTAGTAATGGCCAGCGGGGTTCTGTGCACGGTTCCAGAGGGGGCTGCACGCAGACGGGGGAAGGCCTAGGTGCTCACACGGTCAGTGGCTGAGGAAGAACTGATAAGTACGCGGGTGACCGCAGGCACGTCTCGGGCTTTAGAACACAGCCACACAGCGAGCTGAGTTACATGCGGGGGTCGCTTGCCGGCGGGGACACACAGGTAGGTGCTGCCACACGGCCGTGAGGTCCTGGAATCGCCTGGAAGGAGAGGGCCGGGGCGTCAGCGGACTCTAGGCTCTGCTCACTAAGGAAGCCTGCTGTAGTTGCTATGGCAACGGTTGATATGCCGAGGCACGGACCTACGCGGTATGGACCTATGTGGTATGGACCTACGCGGTATAGACGTGCTGGAGCAGGTAGAGTGTAGGTATTGTGCAAGGGATAAGTCTGGCCCTAGGAGTGACGTAGCTGGGGGCAGGGCCTGGCCAAGCCCAGCAGGTGTGGTATCGAGCAGAGGGGCTTCAGGCTGAGACCCAAGGGTGCCTAGGTCAGGGTCAGGCAGGGGTGGTCAGGGACGGGCTGGTTCACCGTCTGTGCGCCGGGCACCCCTGAGGACACAGCCGAAGGAACAGCAGTGACGGGGGGCGGGGGGAGGTCAGAGCAGAGACTTTAACAAGGATTCATGTCAGATGCAGAGAGTAAACAGACCAGAGGAAGGAGGGAGCCCATGTGGCTTCCGTGACCCCTTAGCCGTGAGGCCCGCCTGTCACCTCAGCTGACCACAGCCCTCCCGACCTGCTTAGGGAAGGCAGCGTGGGGATGTAGGTGCCTGGTCCCCGACATACCCTCCAGGCTGACGTGAGTGCAGGGGGCCAGTGAGGCCAGCTCCCCAGGGGTATGCAAGCCTGGCTTGAGCCCGAGCACTTTTCTGCAGCACTGAGTGGACTTCTGGTAGCTGTGAGACGCATGACCTCGTGCCAGAACAAACGGGGATGTGACGTGGAGCATGATGCAGTGGGTGCCGGAATTCGTGAGGAAAAGATCACGAGGCTCTTCCTCGAGGATGCTCGAGTGAGGCGGTTGAAAGGAGCATCCCTGTGGGCGAGGGCGCGGGTCACGGCTGCAGGTAGCCCGACAGAGGGAGGGGCTGACCCACACTCCACCCGCTGGAGTGCAGCTTGGGTGTCGTCCTTCATCCAGAGGATTCCTAGGAGGTAAGAGGCCTCACCTCGGGTGGAGAAGCATTGCTCCTGGTATCAGATAATCTGGTGGCTCAGGGCAAACCTGCAGCGGAGAATAGCTAGAAATGTTGAGAACTAGTGTTAATTTTTTATATATATTTAGATGGGAGGGGAGCATGGAGGAGCAGAAAGAGAGAATTTCATTAAAAATCCGATTGAAGGCTGGGCACTTGTATGGCTTGGTCAGTTGAGTGTCCAACTCTTGATTTTGGCTCAGGTCAGGATTTTGGGGTCCTGAGAGGGAGCCCCACATCGAGCTCTGCACACGGCATGGAGTCTGCTTGTCCCTCTCCCTCCCGCTGCTCTGCATGCTTGCGCGCTCTCTCTCTCTCTCTCTCAAATGAAATCTTTTGTTTTTTTTTAAGATTTTATTTATTTATTCATGAGAGATAGAGAGGCAGACACACAGGCAGAGGGAGAAGCAGGCTCGACGTGGGACTCGATCCCGGGACTCCAGGATCACACCCTGGGTTCAGGCAGAAGGGGGGAGACTCCCGGTGCAAACGTGGGGGTGGCTCTGGGTGACCGTCAGTGGGGTAATAACACCATCCTAACCGTGTCCTGTGCGGTGTGGGACGTTTACGGAGTTAAAACACGGGACACCAATGGCATTGGTGTGTGAGGGAAGTGAACGGAATTAATTCTGACCCTGTGTGGCCTGGGAGGAAGGAAAGGCACTTTACTTTGGTACATCGGGGCGCCTGCTGCGACCTTTACGGGAACCACTAACAGCGGAGTAACAGGGTTATTTTGTTCGAGAGAGGAGATGGAAAATAAAAGTCACCCCAAAGGAAGGCGAGAAAGAACGAAAGAGTTGGAGCAGAAGGACACACAGAAACCAAGTTGGCGAGGTGGTGGGCGGCCCTGCCCCTCGGTCACGTGCGGTGCGGCAGGACCGGTGGCGTAATCCGAGCAGAGGGGGTCCTGCTGCACCGTGGGCCCAGCTCCTCCTCCAAGAGACCCACCGGAGTAAAAGAATTTATTCAGTTAAACATAGAAAATAGGAAGAAAGTCGTGCAGACGGCAGCCAGAGGCAGGCAGTGCAGAGCGGGACACGTTCCCGGGTGGGTCCGTCGGGGTTTTACTCTGCCAACTTTGAAAGGTCCAGCGTGCGGAAGTTTCTTGCGGCTCCTGGGACGTTGGCTGTGCTGGACGTGTCCGTGCGTGTGCACACGCTCCCCATCCGCGGCTGTCTTGTGGAGACGCAGTTGCCACCCACGACCTTTGCCCTCGCGGTCGTGGCCAGCAGCCAAGGCTCCACACTGGCAGCTTCGTCCCGAGGGCCGCCCCGCTGAGCAGACGTCCGAGCGGGTAACGGGTCCTCCGTCCTCCTGGCTGCTGTGCTCTGCTGCGCTGGCCCCTGTCGTCTGAGCCTGGAGCCCACGCGTGGCGCGCTCTGCTCGTCCTGCAGTTGCAGGAAATGCAGACACCATGTTTGTCTTATTTTTTATTTTTATTTTTTAGATTTTATTTATTCATGAGACACACAGAGAGGCAGAGACACAGGCAGAGGCAGAAGCAGGCTCCATGCAGGGAGCCCGACGTGGGACTCAATCCTGGGTCTCCAGGATCAGGCCCTGGGCTGCAGGCGGCACTAAACCGCTGCACCACCGGGGCTGCCCATAAATTTATTTTTTTATCGAGGGCGCCTGCAGGCTCCCTAGGTAGAGCGTGTGGCCCTTGATCTCTGGCTCGTGAGTTCAGGCCCCACGTTGGGCCTAGAGCTTACTTTAAAAAATAAAAGTAAAATTTTGTGATACTTAAAGAATTTTGTTGTGGCCGGCTGCCCTCAGTTTGTCACTTCACATCAGACATAACCTAGACGAGGAGGTGTAACTGCACGGGGCTGGGGACCAGCTGGCCATGTCTCTGTCCACGTCCCCGTCCCTTCCTGTGGGCCTCTGGATGGCCCCGTTCCTAAGCCGCTGCCCTTATTCAGCTGGAACTTGCGAGTGTCCCTAGGGAGCCCTCCTGGGTCAGGAGGCTGGGTGTGGGTGGGACAGGACCCTTGTGTGGGTGGGACCGTGGTGCTGGCGGGTGACCGTCCCCTGCTGCGCCTCACTGGCTGGAATGAGGGGTCACCTGACTGGCACTCGTCGTGCCGCGCTTCCTGAGACCGTGGACGCCAAGACCCCCTGGGGGAGTTGGCCCCTCTCCAGCCGCACTGCCTGAACCACCCCGGCCCTACACGTTCTGCGTGATGGGCGTTCAGGATATAGAGGTGTCTGGGCCCGAGTCTTGCTCGAGCACCTTTTCCTCAGTTGTGTGCATGGTTTGAATCCGGGCTTCCAGAACGTTCTCTGCATCAGGTTAAGGTTGTCTGTTACCTTAGAAGTAACTGCAGTCTGAGTGATGCAGTGACTCTTCCCAGGTCCTCGTGCTTGGCGCAGGCCGTTCACAATGTGACAGGTGTCCGGGTCCTGTTGGCAGCAGTGCTCTCATCACAGGTGAGGCTGGAACCCAGGTGGGTTGTGTCCCGGCCACCAGGAAGGCTTGGCGGGCCCCATCCTGTGTTAGCCTCAGACAGCCTTGCTGTATCTGTCCCCTTCCCGAACGCCTGTATGTCGCTATGTGAGCACAGTTTTTGAGCAGTGGAGGCATCAGGGCACTCAGCATGGACACGGCAGGGACGCGGCAGTGACGGGCAGGGCGGCACCCAGACAGTAGCGCAGCCTGCAGAAGTAGAGGCACGTGGACAGAGGACGGGGCCTGGCGTTTAAAGTTGTTCAGGAGGGCAGCCCCGGTGGCACAGCGGTTTAGAGCCGTCCTCAGCCCAGGGCCTGATCCTGGAGACCCGGGATCGAGTCCCACGTTGGGCTCCCTGCATGGAGCCTGCTTCTCCCTCTGCCTGTGTTTCTGCCTCTCTCTCTCTCTCTCTCTCTCTGTCTCTCATGAATAAATAAAATCTTTTAAAAGAATAAATAAAAAATAAAGTTGTTCAGGATAAGGTGGATTCATTCAGGATTTGTGCTCACAGCCGACTCTCCATCTTGATGCAAGGAAGTGAGGTGGGTTACATAGCGACCGTTTCAAGTGAAGTTCTAAATGAAAAAAAAAACAACTATTGGATCATTTAAGGAAAAATAAAAGAATGTATTTTGAAGGTTACGATGAGGAAGGCCTGCTTTCTAAGATAGTAGAAAATCTGAAGGAAGAGGTTGGTAAGTCTGGTTTCATAGACGTGAAAACCTTTGTGCGACCAAAACCAACACAAAGTCGGAAAGAAAAGTGACATTTAGGGAGAAAGTATTTTCCGCCTGTGTCACTGGCCGTTCATAGTAAGACTAGAGGTTTCGGTAAACTCTGGCAAAGCCGTGAGCCTCCCAGTGGAAAGTGGACGGAATGGGTGAGTGGGTCTCAGGTGAGGACGGAGTGTAGACGGCCCGGATGCCAGCCTGTGGGCTCCCAGGGGCACGACGAGAACCGGGGCGCGCTGTGGTGAGGCTCAGCAGCGACAGGCGGCCCCGTGCGCCCCGCCCGCAGGTGCGTCCTGCCTGGGTTTATGTCGGGGCTGCCGCAGGCCGAGCGGCCAGCAGATTGGGGCGTTGCCCGCCGCCCGGGTAGACCTCGAAGGTGCGGGATGTGCGCCGTGATCAGGGGGGCTCCATGGCTCCGCCTTCGGCCGCCACTGACGTGTGTTCCTTTTGGCAGGTGTGGGTCCTGGCGGGAGCCTGTGCATCCCTACTACGTCAGCTCCGGCTACGCCCTCGCCCCGGCCACCAGCGCCAATGACAGCGAGCAGCAGAGCCTGTCCAGTGACGCCGACAGCCTGTCCCTCACCGACAGCAGCGTGTGAGTCCCCCCTTGGGCGTGGGCCGTGCCCAACACGTCGCGTGCCCCCTGCACCCCCACCGGCACAGCCGGGCTGCGTCATTAAGGATCCGGAACTTGCAGCAGCTGCTTGTCTCTGAGGCCACGGCTGCTGGCACCTTGGAATGGGGGGAGCCGTCAGGGGGCTCACCGTAAAGATGGGTGGCCGAGCAGGGCGGAGGGCCGGCCAGGCCCTGCTGTGCACAGGTGCCTCGTGCTCCATGCCCTTCTGTCGTTTGAAATTTCGTCCCTGTCACATACTCTGAGTAGGACATGGGGAGGCAAGAGCCGAGGGCACTGGTACGGCTGGTCCTGTGCAGGGATAGCGCAGGGCCGCACGTGCCCAGAGGCCGTGGGAACCATCCAGAGCCACCTGGAGCCTCATGTCCCCCAGGGGTGACAGTTCACCTAACTCTTCCATCGTCCTCTTGATGGGAAAGTACCTATTTTCTGACACTCTCCTTTGCTTTGACAGGTGGCTTTTGGGGACCCAAACGCACATCACAAGTTTGATGTAAGACACTGTGTCGTTATATCAGGGCCTTACCCAGCCAGCCTGCCAAGGTCATTCGTGGTCCTGGCTGCCCGCGAATGTCACATTCACCCCGTTTTCAGTCTGGGTGCCATTCACCATCTGACTGCCGCTGCCGGGAGGTCCCTGGCCAGGGCCCGAGCAGGTGTGCGGTGTCCCCCACCCCCACTCCGAGACGGCTGGGGGCCAAGGGCCAGGACTGCGCAGGGGTGGGAGCAGCCGCTATCAGCTGGCTGCCTGTGGGGCGGGGGGAGGGGGGGCTTTCTTCCCCAGCCAGCTTGCTTCCTCATGGGAAAAACCATGGACAATCAGGATTAAATAAAAAAGGAAGGATCACTAAACCTGTAGAGAAGACATCATAAAATTGTGGTCCCACTTCCTGTGGGGTTTTCACAGTCGGTGCCTCCTCTCTGCCTGTGTTCCCGTGTTCTTCCCGCCGCCAGACAGGCCCTTTCCCAGCCACAGCAGTGCGCCCCCTGTCGCTGCGCATCTGGGGCACCTTCTTTTCCTCTTTGGGCTCAAGCTGGACCCGTCCCTTCAGGTTGAACTTCTGTGTGTGGTTTTTCTCATTCGTTACCCTTGGTTCAGGTAAAATGTTGGCGTGTTTAGCAACTTCTTATGTGAAATGGCTGTGTTTTCAGCAGTACCTGCCACGACCCCCACCAGCAGGTGACAGTTCGGGATTGTGCATTTGTAGCATTGGGTTTTCTCTTCCCTGAAACTGATTACTACAGTGAAAATCCATTTGTCTGCACACTTTTTCTCGAAAAGTCTCTTAATTCTTTCACAGAAAATGACATATGGTTCCTAAATGAAAGATCTGAAGTTTTTAAAATATGGGATGCCTGGGTGGCTCAGCCATTGAGTGCCTGCCTTTGGCTTAGGGCTTAGGGGTCCCGGGATCGAGTCCCACTTCGGGCTCCCCTCAGGGAGCCTGCTTCTCCCTCTGCTTGTGTCTCTGCCTCTCTCTCTGTGTGTGTCTCTCATGCATAAATAAATAAAATCTTTAAAAAACAAAATAAAATAAAATTTTAAAAATATTTTTTTCCTGATAATTCTATGTTGGTTTACACTAAGATTCAGAAATACAGGAATAGTTGATTTGGAATGTAAAATATTTGAATATATATCAGGCAAAAAGTAGGATTGTGGGTTTCATCTAAATTATCTTGTAGCGGGCACAGCTGCCCTCAGCATGCCAACCACACAGTAGAGACGGTGGCTCACTGCACTTTGCGCACGGGTGTCTAAGGACAGGGTCTAATCCACAGAGGCATGTGGAATGTTTAAATTCCTGGTCAAAGCATATGAGAAACAAAAATTTGGTGGCCCTGGACACTGGAATGGAACTCCAGAGGCATGTAAAGATGTTTTTTTTTTAAATTTAATTTTATTTTATTTATTTATGATGGGCACACAGTGAGAGAGAGAGAGAGAGAGAGAGAGGCAGAGACATAGGCAGAGGGAGAAGCAGGCTCCATGCACCGGGAGCCTGATGTGGGATTCGATCCCGGGTCTCCGGGATCGTGCCCTGGACCAAAGGCAGGCGCTAAACCGCTGCGCCACCCAGGGATCCCGTAAAGATGTTTTAAATGCATTTGACTCACCTGTTCCTTGACACCTGCCCCCTTGGGTGCCCCTGCCAGGCTGCTGAGCCAGTCACACTGTGCACCAGCCGGTGCCCTGACAGCCAGGGACACTGAGGCAGTGACAGGAAAGACAGGCTGTCCTGGATTCTTCCTCCCTCGCTCTGGCCCAAAGTACACCCTCTCCCCCTGGATGGAACCCCTAAGACATGTGATTTTAGGGGGAGAACATTACTTCCCTACCTGCCAACACAGCCACTGAGCTGCTGGGTGTGAGGCGGGGCCAGGACATCCTGGGCACCTTGGGCGGCAGGTGCCAGCTTCACTAGGCTGCATAGCAGTTAATGAGGTGAGGTCAGAATTGTGGCTGCGTGGTTGACTCCTGCCATCAAGTGAGAGCAGCACTGTTGCCCAGCCGCCACCCTGGGGCCGTGCTTGGGAGGGAGGCCGGGTCGCAGACCTTGACTGCAGCCCCTGGGGAACACGGAGGCCGAGGCCTTCCAACAGCCAGACGACCTAGACGCATCCGTTCCCGCCGTCAGAGCCGGGAGCCCACCTGGGAGTCCTTGGGTGAGGAGGAGACGGGCCTGGGAAAGCCACCGACCAGGCGTCCTCCTCTGGTGGGCGTCGTCTGTCCTGTTGGCTCCTGTGAACCTCTGAGCTTCCAGAGGCCCTTCACGTAGCAGGGGAGCACAGGGAGTTCCAGGGATGGTGCATGTGCAGTGGGGCGTTCAGCCCGGAGTGAGTGCACAGTCGTGGTAAAGACAATACAGAACTCGATTCCTGTGTTCGTGATGATCTTCGAAAGGGCTCATCACTGAAACACGTGTCAGGGCAACAGATTTGTGCATAGGGAGGTTATGCTCATTCAGCAGTTCACCGTGGAAGGTAGCAGAGCAAGTCAGAACCTTGGAAATCTCTTCCAACGGGGTCTGTTGTTTGGGGGCCCCTGTTCCTGGCTCCCTTAGAGCTCCCCTCCCGGGTAGGCACACGGCAGCCCACCTGGGCAGTAAAGCACAGATCGCTGCACGTTTTCGGCAAAGAACTGGTAGTAAACATTGTCAGTTTCGTGCCCATGTACGGTCTCTGTCCTGTACCCTCCCCCACCTTAAAAACGGGGGCGCCTAGAGGCTCAGCGGTGAGCATCTGCCTTCAGCTCAGGACGTGATCCCGGGGTCCTGGGGTTGAGCCCCAAGTCGGGTTCTGTGCTCAAGGATTCTGTCTATCCATCTGCCCCTCCTCCCACTGACGTGAGTGTGACTCATGTGCGCGCGCACGCTCTCTCTCTCTTTCAAATAAATCTTTAAAAAATAAATATTTTAAACAAATGGAAAAACTGTTCTTCGCTGTGAAGCTGTAGAAAACAGCCGATTCTACTCCAGGTCGAGCCAGCATAGCGGAGTCATGTTGAGCTGTTCTGTTTGCACTCACGCCAGGCTCACTCTCTCCTGGACAGGGATGGAATCCCACCGTACAGGATCCGCAAGCAGCACCGCCGGGAGATGCAGGAGAGCGTCCAGGTCAACGGGCGGGTGCCTCTACCTCACATTCCTGTAAGTTCTGGCTGTGCAGCCCTCCTTCCCATGTGAGCCCTCCAGCCCTCTCACACCAGGCCCATCCCTGCTCCTACTCCGCCTGGCTTCCTGTGAGCTCAGCTCACGTCTAGGCACAGCCTGTGGTCGCGTGGGTGGCCCGTAGGCCCAGCCTGTCCAGTCCCTTCAGGAGCGGGAGGGCCGGCCACGGCACCTGCCAGGCAGTCTGGCCCCGTCCTGGTAAGTGAGGTGCTTCTCCTCGAGGCGGGAGAGCGGATGTGAGCCTGTCGCCGGCCCCTGCCTGGGCCTCCTGACTGCGGCTCCGTTGATACCCAGCGCCCCCGGGCCTGGCCACGTTACTGTGGCACTTTCCGTGGGAGCTGCCTCGGCTTCACCCCTTAGGGTGACAACACCAAGGTGCCAGGGGTGCTCCCGACCGTGGGCACTGGGGGCTGCCCAGAGCGGGCCGGGCAGCCTGTCTACCTGCAGAGTCGCTCTGTTCACGTTGGCGCCCTGGCTGGACACGAGGGACTTCTCAGGGCAGAGGAGGAGGGCTCGCTCGCGGACTCGGGTGGCCGCCCGTTCGCGGTCTGTGCAGGAAGAGCGCGTGCGTGCAGGGTCAGCGTATGCCCATCCTCAGCCAGGGTCCCTTGGTTCGAGGGACCTTTGAGCTCCTTCAGATCACTTTAGTTTTGAAGCAAGAAGAGAGGTAGGTGATGGTGAGAACAAAGGATGTGGCTTTGTTCTGACTTCTGAGAAGAGGGCCGCCCGGCATTTTGTCTCCTCCCAGCTGACTCGGCACGGCCCAGGCACTGACGTGTCTGCTGGGAGAGGAGCAGAAGATGCTGCGGGGAGCGTGGGTGCGTGCGTGTGCTTGCACGTGTGTGTGTGCACCAGCGACTTCTGAGGGAGCCCCAGGCAGGTGCCTGCCTCCCTAGGCTCTGCTCCGCGGACATGTAGCCTCAGAGCTGGGTCTGGGCAGGGGGAGCAGGAGGGGAGCCAAATCCCCCAGAGGAAGGGGGTGAGAGGACAAGGAGCCATGTGGAGGCTCCCCTTCCCCCAGGCCCAGGCTGCTGGGCGTCAGAGTCCCTGGCGATGCAGGAGAAATCTGTGCCTGTCTGCTGGCGAAACCAAGGTGGAGCGTGTGGAGGAACGGGGCACTGACGCCACCCGGGGTAGCCCCCGGGCAGTACCTGCTCCCAGTGGGAACAAGCGACTTCGTGTGGTCCGTCAGATGGGTGCTGCCTGTGGGGGCCGTGGGGGCTGCGGGGATGTCCCCAGGACAGTAGCCCAGGGTGAGGGCCATCCTACACAGGAACTGGCTTCCAGTTTTCTGGAGTCACTGGGGAGACAGGAGTCAGAGAAACAGCCTGGCCTAGTACCTCAGCCCTCATTCTGAGAGGAGGGTCGACGGTGTGGGGCCTGCGTCAGGAGGCCCCCTGGTAGGATGCCTGCCCCTGCTTCTGGTGACGGGACATCGAGGAGGCAACTTGCTCTCAATTTGGGAAATGTTCTTGCTGGAGCTCTTGCAACGTTTCTGCAACAACTTCTCTTTTTTTCTATTTACATTTTTTTTCAGGGCAGCCCGGGTGGCTCAGCGGTTTAGTGCCGCCTTTGGCCCAGGGCCTGACCCTGGAGTCCCGGGATCGAGTCCTGAGTCGGGCTCCCTGCATGGAGCCTGCTTCTCCCTCTGCCTGTGTCTCTGTGCCTCTCTCTGTCTCTCTCTCTCTCTGTCTGTCATAAATAAATAAAATCTTAAAAATTTTCTTTCACACTTTTATGTCCTATTTTTATTTTCAAGAGAAAGACAGTCACATAATTTATAGTGGTGAAAGGAGAAAACCAGATAATTCCAGAAATGTTTCATATTTAAGAGTAAAAGTAGCAAATTGAACTCCAATTAAAAAAAAAAAGAGTAAAAGAAAACATAAAACTCAGCAGAACCTTAGCATTTTGGGGGGGAACATTCTTTCTGATTTTGTGATTTACAGAAAGGCACGGAGAGACATCTTATTTTATACACTTAACAAGTTTTTAAAAGGAAATTTCAAAAGATACACGCAAGATTCCACTCCAAAGGAAGGTGCCTGAGGACCAAGGATGAAGATTTCTTAGAGGAGTCTAGAAGAGATGAGTGTTTCCATTGTCAAACCTCCTCACTCTCTTTCATTACATAACTGAGTTGATAAAAGGAAAAGGGATCTGTGAGATTTTTCTCTGGAGACATGTTGAACACTGAAACACCAGACCCCCATCTCCACCCCAAAAGGGGGTTTAGAGATGCTAATTTGTAATCCTCCTTTTTTAACATACATTATTTTTTAAAAATTTAAATTCCATTTACCAACATATAGTATAACCCCCAGTGCTCATCCCGTCACCCAGTCACCCCACCCCCTGCCCGCCTCCCCTTCTGCAACCCTTTGTGTGTTTCCCAGAGTTAGGAGTCTCATGGTTTATCTCCCTCTAGTTTTTCCCACTCAGTTTCCCTCCTTTCCCCTATAATCCCTTTCACTATTTCTTATATTCCCCATATGATATGAGTGAGACCATATGATGTTTCTCCTTCTCCACCTGACTTATTTCACTCAGCATAATACCCTCCAGGTCCATCCACGTTGAAGCAAATGGTGGGTTATTTGTTGTTTCTAATGGCTGAGGAATATTCCATTGTATACATAGACCACAGCTTCTTTATCCATCATCTGTCGATGGACACCGAGGTTCCTTCCACAGTGTGGCTATTGTGGACACTGATGCTATAAACATCGGGGTGCTGGCGTCCTGGCATTTCATTCCATCTGTATCTTTGGGGTGAATCCCCAGCAGTGCAATTGCTGGGTCTTAGGGCAGGTCTTTTTTTTTTTTTTTTCTTTTTTTTTTTTTTTAATTTATTTATGATAGTCACGGAGAGAGAGAGAGAGAGAGGCAGAGAGGCAGGCAGAGGGAGAAGCAGGCTCCGTGCACCGGGAGCCCGATGTGGGATTCGATCCCAGGTCTCCAGGATCGCGCCCTGGGCCAAAGGCAGGCGCCAAACCGCTGCGCCACCCAGGGATCCCAGGCAGGTCTTTTTTTAACTCTGAGGAACCTCCACACAGTTTTCCAGAGGGGCTGCACCATTTCACATTCCCACCAACAGTGCAGGAGGGTTCCCTTTTCTCCGCATCCTCTCCAACATTTGTGGTTTCCTGCCTTGTTAATTTTCCCCATTCTCACTGGTGTGAGGTGGGATCTCATTGTATTTCCCTGATGGCCAGTGATGCGGAGCATGTTCTCACGTGCTTGTTGGCCATGTCTAGGTCTTCCTCTGGGAGATTTCTGTTTGTGTCTTTGGCCCACTTTATGATTGGATTGTTTGTTTCTTTGCCGTTGAGTTTAATGACTTCTTTAGAGATCTTGGCTACTAGCCCTTTATCTGATACATCATTTGCAAATACCTTCTCCCATTCTGTAGGTTGTCTTTGAGTTTTGTTGAGTGTTTCTTTTGCTGTGCAGAAGCTTCTTATCTTGATGAAGCCCCAATAGTTCATTTTTGCTTTTGTTTCCCTTGCCCTCATGGGTGTATCTTGCGAGAAGTTGCTGTGGCCAAGTTCAAAAAGGGTGTTGTCTGTGTTCTTCTCTAGGATTTTGATGGATTCTTGTCTCACACTTAGATTTTTCATCCATTTTGAGTTTATCGTTGTGTCTGGTGTAAGAGAGTGGTCTAGTTTTTCTTCTGCACGTGGCTGTCCAGTGTTCCCAGCACCATTTATTGACGAGACGGTCCTTTTTCCAGTGGATAGTCTCTCCTGTTTTGTTGAATATTAGTTGACCATAGAGTTGAGGGCCCGTGTCTAGGTTCTCTATTCTGTTCCATTGATCTATGTGTCTATTTTTGTGCCAGGACCACATTGTCTTGATTCTCTTCTTAAAAAGATTTATTTATTTATTTATTTATCTATCTATCTATTTATTTATCCCTATCTATTTCAGAGAGGGAGAGAGCACAAGCAGGGGGAGCAGCAGAGGAGGAGGGAGACACAGGCTCCCCACTGAGCAGGGAGCCCAGTGTGAGGCTGGATCCCAGGACCCCAGGATCATACTTGACCCGAAGGCAGATGCTTAACCCACTGAGCCACCCAGGCATCCCTCAAAAACAATTTTTGATTCAATAAGTTAACCAGAGTGAGTGTTCATGAAAACCAGAATAGAAAATGAGAGGTTGGAATACAGACCTGGAAAGACTTCTCAGAATGTGGCATGGGAGAATCAGGAAGAGTCAAGAGCAACAGGTGTCAGTGGGGGATTGTTCCAGAATGGAGGAAGGCAAGGCGTCTTCAGGTTCTGGAAGGTCCTGGCCAAGTCAGCATGAAGGTAGAGCCAAGAAAGGCAGTGGCATGGCAGCGAGAACCTGGCCTTCCTGTGAGGCATGGACGGTGCTGCGGCCCCACAGGCTTCCTGCCTCGGTTGACCAGCCCCTGGAGGGTGGCTAAGAGCATTGGCAGGCACTGCGCCGAGCGTTGGGCCTGTCCCTCAGTGACCATTCAGTGAGAGCAGGAGGTCCTGTGTGTCCTGAGAGAAGCCGGTGTTGCCTTCAGGGGAAGGTCAAATGAGCCCCTGCTCCGTGCGCCGTTCAGGCATCCACAGGATCAGCCCAGGCTGGTCGATGGCCAGGCCAGGGGGGTCAGTGCAGACGGGGAGCCAGAGGTCAGCCAGAGGTCCTCACCCACCTGGGCTTTGTTCCTGGGGTCCAGCGTGACAAGGAGCTCTCGATCGTGTACTTACCTGGGGTGTGAGGAGCTTCTTGGCCTCTGCAGGGCCACAGCCGCGTCCGTTGTTTGACGGTCAGCAGAGGGCGGTGGGGGGCAGGACAGAAGGGTGGGGGCCACAGGAGCAGGAGCTCTGGATGCAGCCTTGAGAGAGCAGAGGCCCTCAGAGCAGCACGTTGTTCGGGGCAGTGGTTGGGCAGGTGAAGGGACTCCAGGTGTCCCTTGTGGACTCCCACGGACATTAATCAGGAGACATCTGGCCCAGGCGGAGTCGGGCCCAGGCGGGGGAGCTCTGGTGCCCGACGGCAGGAGCCATCACCTGCAGACGCCGCAGGAGCAGCGTCAGTGGCAAGGGTCCCGAGCCACAGGGAAGGATGTGGCTGCGTGTCCTGCCCATTGGCCATGGGGAAGCCCCCATCACCCCATCACCCTGGACACCCGTATGCAGACTTCCATGCACAGCGGCCCCTCCCAACTTCCTCCCCTGCTCCGGCTTTTGTTTGTGGGAGTGGTCTGCGACTTTTTTACAGATTGCTTAGCCCATAGATTTGCTTTCCCGAAGAAAGCCATCTTTCCTGGTAAAATAACTGATTTTTATTTTTAAGGGTAACATTTCTTTTTTTTTTTTTAAGACTTTATTTATTCATGAGAGACACAGAGAGAGAGAGAGGCAGAGACACAGGCAGAGGGAGAAGCAGGCTCCATGCAGGGAGCCCGACGCGGGACTCAATCCCAGGACCCCAGGATCAGGCCCTGGGCTGAAGGCAGCGGTAAACCGCTGAGCCCCCCACGCTGCCCCAAGGGTAACATTTCTTACCCGGCCAACCAGACAGAGGTGTTCCCCATCGTAGCCGAGGCTGTGGGGTGCTGTGGCTGGGGTGGTCTTCCGTGGTGGGGACGCCGGCCTGCGCCCAGAGCCTGCACACATCCATTTTGTCATTGGGTAGGGGCAGGGCAGGGGGACGCGGGCTGGCTCCCGGGTTGGGCGAGGGACTGCGTGTCAGTGGCTGTGCTGGGGCACGTGGGCGCCTGCCCTGCCCCTCGAGCGTAGGACGGCTGCTCCTCGTGGCTGACGGAGGGGCCCTTCCCGTGCCCCAGAAGGTCCATGGCTTTAATGACACACTTTTCCTTGGTGACTTTCCTGTTCCTCCGTAGCTAGAAGGCACAGGTGTGGTCATTAGCATAACTTCTTGCAATGTGTGGCTTTTCGAAGCATAACCTGCAGCCTGGAGCCTCTTCTCCAGAGCACACGGGCTTGGGAGTGCATCCACTGCAGCCGAGCCCCTGCATGTCCTCTCGCCAGCATCACCCTGCCTATGTGCACTTTGGCCTCGTGAGGACTTTTCACTGTGCCCTTGGTCCGCGTGTGCTGTCCCGCGGTCCGGACCTCGGAGCTCCGGCCACCCGGATGCCTGGCCTTCGGCCCTCAGCCCCGTGTGGGCCCTGCCACTCTGGTCCACGCAGCTCCCGCAGAGTCAGCACTCCCTGGCTGGCCCTGTCGGCCTCTCAGCCTTTCGCCATCCCTACCGCCTGGCCTCTTCTGGGGACACTGGCCACCCTCAGTCGCCCCGTCCTCGTGGGCCTGGCCTCCTCACATCCAGGATCAACCCCGGGCTGCTTGCACCAGCTTGTCGTGCCGTTGACGTGCCGCCCGTGTCCTGGCCTTGCCCTCCTCTGCTTCCCTGTCCAAGGCCCTCTGAGGTCCCTGCAGCTGCCCCTGAGCTCATCGAGGCCAGCGTCGGCCCCACATGGAGTGTTGGTCTCTGTGCCCTGGCCACGACCTTCTCCCCCAGGCTCATGCGTGTCTGAGGTTAGGGACTGTTGCAGATGAGAAAAGTGAACACAGTCGGCTCCGACCCCCATGGGAGGCCTCCCCCCTCCCCCCTACCTCCCCCCTCCCCTCCCTTGGTGGCCCCCCGGGGCCCCCATTGCCCCCCCTCACTTAGATCTTGGTGGCTTGGAGGTTTAAATGCTACAGTGCACATTGCTGGGACAGCTAATGAAATTGGAGTGAGATGGGCTACTTAGGTAACAGTTGCCAGGGCGCTCTCCTCGCTTTGTACTAGTTGTGATGAAGTGCAAGGATGTGTTTGCTTGGTAAAATCACAGAGCTGTTCAGGAAGGAGCGGGCTTCGTGTCTTCTCTTGTGGCTCAAGGTGCACACGCGTGTCTGCCTGTATGTGCATACGTGCATCTGTGTCAGCGTCTGTGAGAGGGGATGGCAGTGCTGGCAGGTGTCAGCAGTTGGGGAATCGCAGTGGAGGGTGGACAGCAGTTCTTTGGGCTATTACAGTGTTTTTAACTTTGAAGTTATTTCAAAGTAAAGTTACGCCCCCAGAAGACTTACAGTGTGTTCCCGAAAGCTGCATTGCTCAGCTGTTTTGTCCAAAAAGGAAGGTCGTCCCATTTCCCCTGACGCTTGTGCCCTGAGTTTTGTGTCTCCCACCCTTAGAGCAGAGCCGCATCCCGAGCCTGGTGTGGGCCCTCGGGGGCTGCTGTCCCGTGCTGCGCAGGGCAGTCCTGCAGGCCGTCTCCCCCCAGGGCTCCTGGGCTCGGCCCCTCCCTCACACGGTCCCTGGCCCCGTAGGTCTGCCCCAGGCACTGGGCCTCACGGGGTATTGGCCTGGCCAGGCGTGTGCGGGGCGCTTCCTGGGGGCGGCTGGGGGCCGAGGTGAAGGACACACCGGGGTTAGCACATCGAACCTACTCCCTGCCTAGGGCCCTGCTGGCTGCTGCCCTGGTGACCTAACCTGGCTCCTGCCGGCCCCCGGCCGCCAGTCCTCTGGTCGCAGAGGCCAAGGATGCGGTTGCCAGCCTCGCGTTCCCCTCCCAGGTCAGCGCTGGGTGAGGAGAGTTTTAGTCCCACAGCACAGGGGGCAGTGAGGAGGTTGACATGGAGCGAGAGGGGAAAAAGTGAACAGTTACGTTAAAATGCGGATTTCACGTGTGGTGTCTTGTCGCCCAGAAAGTGCTCGCGTGCCACCTTGGCGCGGGTGGCAGTTCAGAGCCGCACGTGCCGGCTAATCAGCAGTGTCTCCTCGCAGCGCACTTACCGAATGCCAAAGGAAATCCGTGTGGAGCCCCAGAAGTTCGCCGCGGAGCTCATCCACCGCCTGGAGGCCATCCAGCGGACGCGGGAGGCCGAGGAGAAGCTGGAGGAGCGGCTGAAACGCGTCCGGATGGTGAGTGCGCCCCTCGGGGGAGGACTACGCACGGGCTCGCGTGGCGAGCCCAGTGGAGGGCGGCTTCAGGCCGCGAGGACTGCGTCTACTCCCGGGCTGGCCACCTGCCCCTCGGAGCCCCCGCTGCCTGCTCTCCAGGGAGGAGGTGCCTGGGTGGGGGGCAGCCGCAGGTGCTCAGCAGCCGCTCTGGGCCATGCGGAGCTGGGGGGCAGGCCGAGAGCACGCCCCGCTGTCGTCGCCCATAGGGGCCATGCGGGGGCCACGCGGGCTCAGCTCAGGGAGGAGAGTGGTGGCGTTCGACGTGTGCCCAGAGCGGCCTGGCCGGACCTGCCCCCCTGCTCTCCTGTTGCTGCGGGCTCTGGGGGCTGGTACGTCCCGTCTGCCCTGCTGGCCCCTCCTGTGTCCCGGGGGCCCCCGGGGAGCACTGCCGGGTCCTGCGTGCGTGCATGTGTGGACTGGAATGTGGACTGGGCAGGGAGGGCTGGCGGCCCCCACCTGCCATCGCAGAGTGCAGAAAGACATGAGGGCGGGATGTGCACGCCGTGTACCTTGTTTTGGGCCTGTGGCCTTGCTGGACGCTCAACACTGTGAAACCTTCATGCAGTTTGTAACTCACTTGCTTTCATGCTTCTTGCCCTAACTGCCAAGGACACGCCTTGGTCGTCTCTGCGCGTCGTCCTGTGAGATCGGCTTCCTCACACGTGCGGGGGCTCCTGTGCTGGGACTTGGGTGACGAGCTTGTTCCTCGAGTGAGGACTTCCCCGAGCCCCTCACACTCCACGAGGTGGCTTGTGCGCAAGGCCCCTGCACCCTGTCCTCCTGGCCATGGGCCTTGCTCTGGGCATAGGGATTCTCTGCTGGAGTGGGAAGTGGCCACCGCTGGGGGCGCCCAGCGGGTGGTCAGTGGAGCAGCGACTCTTGATCAGGGTCGTGAGTTCAAGCCCCACGTTGAGGTAGAGTTGACTTAAGAAAAAAGAAAAAATGGTCACCACCAAGTTTGCAAGTTTGTATTTTCTATTGTTTGCTCAGTATTTATGCGCAGTGCCTGAAATCAAAAACCAGGTCGTGCTTTAAGGAATGACTTCTGTCCGTGACATTCATGTTTCCGGTGGAGACCCGCGCCATCCCCAGACTCGGGGAGCTCTCCCAGGAGGGGCCTGCGCGCTCCCTGCCCCGGGGGTCGCGTGCACCTCGAGGCCGGGGATGTTGTCGCAAGGCTGCTCCTGGGCCACGGCACACGGGCACACCTGGCGGCTTCCTTGCTGGCCCTGCCGCTGCCCCCTGGGCTTCGGGAGCTCCCTCGTGTGACCCCGCTCCCCATTAGCGTGTTGGGACCTGGGGTTTGTGGTGGGGACCGGGGCACGGGTGTGGTCACGGAGGCCGTCGTGCTGACGGCCCGGTGTGGAGGTGTGTCGGAGCACCCGTGCCGGGTGGCGGTGCCATGCCCTCGGCCTGCTGGCTTCCGGCCAGGTGGGCGCACCGCGGAGCCCCCTCCTCGGGCCCCCCGGCAGCCTGGGGGAGTGGTGAGAGGACGGGCAGGCGCCGAGCCGGTGCTGGCCTGCGGGGCGCGGGTACCCGTGCTTCGTGAGGCCGCCCAGGGGGAGCGTGGTCGCCGTGCATGCGGGCAGTGGGCATTGGCACGGGTGGCGGGCTTGCGGTCTCGGCTGGCGGCCCTGAGTCCCGGGGAGCTCCGGCGGCCGCGTGGGCCCAGATGTGGAGCCGTTTGTCGGGTCGGCACCGGCGTCGGCTCCTCCAGCGGGGCTGCCCAGGTGCTGCCGGGTCCGGCGGGGGCGTGGAGGCCAGCACCCAGCCCACGAGCCCCACGGGGCATGCCCACCCCGACCTCCAGCGCCCCTGCCACCTCCACTTGGGAGCCCAGCCTGCTGCCCGGGCAGCGCCACGGCCTCCGGACGGGGGGGGGCCCGGCTCTCCGTGGCCGAGTGCGGCCTGTGCCGCCGCAGCTCCCCTGTCCCCACGGGCGCCCCTCAGCCCTCGGGGCACCGGCACCACCGGCAGCGCAGTCGCGTCGCTCACGCTGTGTCTACGCACAAAAACTCTGGAGAAAATCAAATCCAGTAGCCTGTTTACAGGGAATCCACACCCCCGTGAGATTCCCCATCTTGTGTGATTTTGCAGCCTATAGGAATGTGTCATAAATCACTGTTTTTTAAGAAAAATGACTAAATAAGTTAATTTTATTGTGGTGCCTAATGGCTCAGTCGGTTAAGCGTATGCCTCTTGGTTTCGGTGGTTTTGGGGTCGTGGGACTGAGCCCCGGGTGGACTCTGCGCTCAGCGGTGAGCCCGCCTCCAGGCTCCGGCCCTCGGCCTCCTCCCACTGCCTGCACCCACGCGCTCGCTCTCAAATACATTAACGAATCTTGTTTAAAAACCTTACTTTTATTGTAAACTTTGGAAAATGAGTGGAGAAGAAACAAACTATCTGCTAGGAAACCTCTAACGTTTCAAGACCCTGACATTGATTTTCTGTGATGGCAGAGCCACTGAGAGAATGTATGTGATCTGCCCCCCCCCCCACGGGGTCGAGAGTGTCCCTCTTGCTCCCTGCTGCCCTCGGGGGTCACTCCCAGTGCCCCGGGCAGGCCAAGGCGGAGGGGTGGGGGGCGTGGGGGGTGCCCGTCCCTGGGCCGTCCCAGCGCCCAGCGCCCAGCGCCTGCGCCCTGAGCAGGCCTGGCGGGCCTGCAGCCGACAGCCCGTGCCAGCGAGGGTTCCGTATTTCCCGCTACATGGGACGCTTTGTGCTGCATTTCCGAGGGTCTGGTTACAGCACAGGCCCGGTCGGGTCGCCTCCCGTTCTTCTTGGTTGGTAGTGGGTTCACTTAGCATTATGCAGTTTGTGCAGTTCAGTGAGGCGAGGAAGGAGACTTGAGATGTATCTTTGGAGTTAGACTGACCAGATGTTTACGTTTACAGATGTGGTCCTGTGGACCCAGAGGAAACTCCGCTGGTCCAGTGTGACAATGTACCAAGAAACCCGTAACTCGATAATTAAGCAGGAAACAAGAGTTCCTCTGTACAAGGGCAAAATTTCCCTTGAAAAATATAATGGAAACTATGGCAATAAAATTGAGGAATGGGGCCCCCAGGCCGGCTCCGCCAGAGGGGCCTGCGACTCTTGATCTCGGGGTTGTGGGTTCGAGCCCTGTGGTGGGGATAGAGATCACTGAAATGAAAATTTTTTTAAATATTGAGGAATAGGAAAATCATTGACTGAAAAGGTAAAAGTATCTTTATTGAGAAACACGAAAGTCAGTATGGAGGTTTCTCAGCGAGTGGGACTCAGGCTGGCACTGAGACCCCTTGAACCGCAGGTGGGTGGCAGCCACGGGCGTGTCCGCACACTGTGGGTGAGCGTGGCATCGCTTCCTGGGGCCCAGCGCTTGTGGCCGGGTGGGAGTGGGGGCTCCGCAGCTGCAGGGAGAGGCCCTGGAGCCAGCCCGAGGCAGCTGGCACCCCTGCACCTGGGCTCCGGGCTCCTGACCCCTTGGACCGCGCTGCAGGCCCACTTCTGTGTGACCCCACCCGTGAGGTTTCCATGACACCGCCAGGGAGCTGACACGTGGCCCTTGTCCTGCAGGAGGAAGAAGGAGAGGATGGTGATGTGCCCTCAGGCCCCCTGGGGGCCATTCATAAGCTGCCTTTGGCCCCCACCTGGCACCACTTTCCCCCCCGCTATGCAGACGTGTCCTGCGTGGGACTGCGGGACGCGCACGAGGAGAACCCCGAAAGCATCCTGGATGAGCACGTGCAGCGGGTCATGAGAACGCCTGGCTGTCAGTCACCAGGGCCCGGCCATCGTTCCCCTGACAATGCCCATGTGCCCAAGATCGTGGGGGTGCTGGGGGGTGTGCCCTCTGGGCACGGTAAGCACGCACCCAAGTCAGGGGCGAAGCTGGACACGGCTGGCCCGCACCTTCACAGGCACAGCCACCACCACAGTCACCACAGTGCCGCCAGGCCCAAGGAGCAGGCCGACGTGGAGGCTGCCCGCCGGGTCCAGGGCAGCTTTGCATGGGGCCCGGAGCTGCACGGCCACACAGCCAAGCCCCGTAGCCACTCGGAGAGCGTGGGTGCTGCCCCCAATGCCAGCGACAGCCTGGCCTACAGGTGAGTGCGTGCGGCAGCCTGAGCCGTGCCCTGGGGTCGGGACCGGGCATCCTTTGTCCCTGAACCTGTGGGTCTTCCCGGCCAGGAAGGGGACCCTGAGAAGCTGTGTCCTGCAGCTTCTCTTCTGCATTTCTAGGCCACGATTCCCCTTTGAGAGTCCTTCAGCCCTGGGGTGCCTGGGTGGCTGTCGGGTGACCATCTGACCCTTGGTGTCAGCTCAGGTCATGATCTCGGGGTTGTGAGGTCAGCCCTACATTGGGCTCCCTGCCCAGTGGGAGTCTGCTGCTCTCCCCACCCACCCACCCACCCACGGTGTGTGCTCACACTCGCTCTCTAGCTCTCTCTCAAATCTTTAAAAAAAGAAAAAATGAAAGTGATTCAACCATAGCTGCAGCGACTGCAGGCATGTGGTGGCCGGAGTCCAGGTGCCAGGCATGGGTGCTGGGCCCGGCCCGGGGGTGCCAAGGTGGAGGCCCTGGTTTCCGAGGGAGGCATCTGGGCGGGGAGTGGCTGGGTCCCCAGGTGGGTGAGGGCAGATGCCCTAGCCGTCCTGCTGCTGCCGCTCGGGCCCCTTCCTCCGCATCCTGCCAGATGGCCTTGGGGCAGAGCCCATGAGGACACGACTAGCGAAGCCACCGGGTCGGGGCGTGGTCCAGCGTCAGGCCAGGTACAGTCAGCAGGTGACTCGCGGCTCTTGCTGTTGCAGCGGGAAGGCCGGCACTGCCTCCAGGAGGAATGCCAAGAAGGCCGAGTCAGGGAAGAACGCCGGCACTGAGGTGCCCGGCCCGTCGGAGGACACAGACAAGAATCAGAAGATCATGCAGTGGATCATTGAGGGGGAGAAGGAGATCAGCAGGCACCGCAAGGCGGGCCACGGGTAAGAGGTGCCCGGCGGCCCAGCGGCCCAGCTCGAGGGCACGGCGCGCGTAGAGCTAGCTGACAGCCTCCAGCACGGCTCCACCAGGGCTCTGGCAGCTGTGGCCCAGCCACCCCCTGTCTCAGCACGTGCGGCGGAAGCAACGAGTCCATGGCAGCGGGGGCCCCGGGGGTGTGGGGGCCCTGACGTAGCCTCAGCATCCTTGAGGCCGTGCCCACCCGCTGCTGAGCTCTATCTTGTCACCCTGCCTCTGTGTGAGCTCCTCGTGCCGCGCCCCACCTGCCATCACACGGCTGCTCTCGGGAGGTTATTTCTGGGCTGGTGACGCCTCTGCATGACACTGACCTCAGTTACTGGGGAGGTGAGGCTGGTACCTGCCCGTGTCTGCAGACAGACGCAGGGAGAGCCTCCCGTGCGTGCAGGTGCCCCCCAGCCGTCTGCAGTGTCGGCACCATCTGAGCAAGGATGCAGGGGCTGCTCCGGGGGAGCCGGGCCTCCAGACAGGCTGTTGCTGCCCCACGTGGGTCCATCCACCATGGGGAGACTCTGAGGGGTTGGGGGGCTGGTCAGACACCTCCCAGCCTGCAGACACGTCACTCCCAGAGCAGCCACCCGGGCCCTGGGGCTGGTGGGATTGACCCGTGGGTGGGCGGGCCTCCCGTTTCCTCCATCTCAGACGTCACTGGCCCTCCATCGTGGGGGGCAGCGCACACCTGTCCCGCCCATCCTGAGTGGTGACACAGGGTGGGGCCCCCCTCCTCTGGGTCCCCATGTTTGGTCTCCACACAGCCCTGGGCACACGCATGGTCACAGAGCCCGTCCTGGGCGAGGGGTTTGTGCAGAGCCCCTGGCTTGCTCTGGTTGGGGTGGGGGGTAGATGGAGGCTGCTCTGGATTTCTTCCTTTTTTGGGTTTCTGCAAGGAATGGCTCCATCCTGGCCACTCCTCCACCCCAAATGGACCGAGTCAAAGGCACATCTGGAGACAGTCTCAGGTTGGAAGGTGCTTGCTGTTAGGACAGGCCATTGGGCAATGGCCCTTCCGTGTCCACAGCAGGTCCCTCTGGCCTTTGAGCCGGGGGCCGTGTGCCTCTGCCTTTGTTCTTACATAAACCAGGTAGGCAGGGGGTGGGGACAGGCAGGGAGAGCTAGGAGGGGGCGGGGGGCCCAGAGCCAAGGTCTTCCCGGGGCTGGCCTTGCGGCTCCTTAGGGGGCAGAGCCCACCTCTCTCTGGGGTGCCTTCCCTTGAGCTCCTGGGGTTGTGAGCCCTCTTTTTGGGGCTTCCCCCTCGCTGAACCCCCCCTTTCTGAGGCTCCAGCCTCAGTTCAAGGACCCTCATGTTTCCGCTCAAATTCATCTAGCGGTTGAGCAAACGCATAGCTCACAGCCGTGAAGCATCTTCTGTGCTGAATTACAAAGGCAAAGCTGTGCTGTCGGGCAGAGGGGAAAACCCAGAAAAAAATTACATGTTAAGAGTTATGCCACTTAAGTATTTTTGAGAGGGAAGAGGATATACCAGTATAATGGGAGTAGGTATTTTTAAGTATGATATTTGGATTATTTATATTTTTCTTTGAATTTACTGTGTATTTCGAGTTTCTCACAAGGAACATTTGTTTTGATGTTAAAACGTTTTTTGGTTTTATTTTATTTTACTTTATTTGACAGCATGAGAGAGCGAGAGGGGGAGTGAGAAGCAGGCTCCCCAGTGAGCAGGGAGCCCAGAGAGAGACGCAGGGCTGGACCCCAGGCCCCGGAGATCAGGACCTGAGCCGAAGGCAGATGCTTCACCGACGGAGCCACCCGGGCATCCTGACCCTGAAATGTTTTTTAAAAACACTAAAAATGTTTCTTTAAAAGAAGTTTTAGGGCAGCCCAGGTGGCCTAGCGGTTGAGCATCTGCCTTCAGCCCAGGGCGTGACCCCGGGGTTCCTGGATCAAGTCCCACGTCGGGCTCCCTGCATGGAGCCTGCTTCTCCCTCTGCCTGTGTCTGTGTCTCTCTCTCTGTGTCTCTCATTAATAGATAAATACAATCTTTAAAAAACAAAATAAGTTATATAGGATAGGATTTATATATTTTTTTAATTGTTAAAAAATATTTATTTATGGGAGAGAGAGAGAGAGGCAGAGACACAGGCAGAGGGAGAAGCAGGCTCCACGCAGGGAGCCTGATATGGGACTCGATCCCGGGTCTCCAGGATCACGCCCTGGGCCGAAGGCGGTGCTAAACCACTGAGCCACCAGGGCTGCCCAGGATTTATATTTCAATAAAGTTATTAAAGCTAAGTTACGAAGGGGGTACCTGATGGCCGGTTGAGCGTCAGCTCAGGCCATGGTCTTGGGGGCGTGTGATTGAGCCCCTTGGTGGGCAGGGAGTCCACGTGATGTTCCCTCCACCCTCCCCCACTCCCTCGCTCTACAATAAATATATTTTTTTTAATTACAAAAGAAAAAAGGAAAGGGAAAAAAATCACAAAAGAAGTGTGTGACGTAGACATGTCTGTGTTGTGTACAGGAGGAAACTGCAGCAGCTCACATGCTGGCCAGGGTCGTGTGTGTGTGGCCACCCCCGCCCGGTCCTATTCCCAGTCCCTGGCACCTGCCCGTGGCCAGGGCTTCAGGTGCTGCCACGTCCGATTCTCTTGTTCCCAAAGGTCCTCTGGTGCCAAGAAGCAGCAGGTGCATGAGAGCTCCAGGCCCCTGTCTGTCGAGCGTCCCGGGGCTGTGCATCCCTGGGTCAGCGCTCAGCTCCGGAACTCCGTCCAGCCGTCTCACCTATTCATTCAAGACCCCACCATGCCACCCAACCCGGCCCCCAACCCTCTGACCCAGCTGGAGGAGGCCCGCAGGCGTCTGGAGGAGGAAGAGAAGAGAGCCAGCAAGTTACCTTCCAAGCAGAGGTATGGGGGTCGGGGAGGGCAGGCCGCACTACCTGCCAGGGCCGCACCAGGCGCCTCGGCACCGCTTTAGGGCCAGAGCTCCCCAAGGCCCGGGGCTCCCCCAGACAGCCCAGCTGCCCGCCCCCTGGCAGTCCTGGTCTCTCCTTTCTACTAAGAGCCCCCGTGGGCTGGCAAGGGGCCCTGCTTTGTGAGCAGGGTCTGGGGGGGCAGGTGGTGCTGACCCTGTCCCCATGGGGATGGAGAGGGAGCCCTCTCTGCTTTGTGAGTGGACACTCACACTGGCTCTAGCTGGGAGCCTGCAGTGCCCCATCACGTCGTGGAACAGCTAGAGGTTGGCGTCTGGTCACCCCGGTTGCTGGGCAGGCTGAGCTCAGTGGGGGCCCTGGGGGTGCCGTGAACAGTGCCGTCGGCAGCGGGCAGGACGGTCAGCACTGCTGAAGTACATACAGATGTTCAGGTTTTCTCCTGGAGGGACCCCAAGCACAGCGTCCCCCTTGCCGTGCCCTCCTTGGCCTCGGGGACCACAGAGGTGGGGCCCACTGGCGATGCAGCCTCCGACAGACCCTCCCCCGGGGGCACCCCTTTGAGGTAGCAGGTGCTCTCTCCAGGCCACAGTGTGGTTTCCCTACCTTTTCAGCTGGGTCTCGAGGTCACTTCTCCCACATGGAGCAGGGTCTCAGGGCGGGTGGCTCCACAGTGACCCTGATCTCCTCAGACTTGGCCGGCACGCCTTCCCCCGTCTTCGATCACTGGTCATGCTTCCCAGGGGCTTTGCTGCGGGGGCCATTCAGCTCTGGGAGGCTGGCGGCAGGGTGCCCGTCTCATTGGGCAAACCCAGGGGTCTGAGTGTGTCCCCTGGTCTTGAAGGCACCCACGTTTCCGGTCTCTGTCTCACACCGTGACCCTGTCAGCCTGGAAGCAGAGCGCTGGCTAGCGCGGGAGGCTGGCCCGGCACGGGGATGCTACGCAGCCTGACAGGGCCCGGGATCTGAGGTGGACGGGGTGGCAGGGCTGGCGTGTGGGAGGTCCTCCCTGCCGCACAGACCCCTTGTGGGGTGCCGTCCTTGCCGCACTTGGGGTGCAGGGCTCGCGTCTGCTCTCCCACCAGCACCAGCAGGCCCTGCGTGCTCGTGCTCCTGCTGCAGAGACACCAAACCGCCCCTCGGGCCTCTCGGGGATGCATGTCTGGGGCTGTGTGCTTCCTGACGGGTTTTGGCCAGAGGCTCTGGCATCGCCACTTGTCGTCGGTCCAGGCGCATGGGCCTCTTGTCAGTGGCTGCAGACACGGAGTGAAGGTCCAGGGCAGCAGTAGGGTGCCAGGCCCCCCATGAGGTCCTCGGGGACCCCCCAGGCTGGCAGACGAGCAGTCGCCTCAGAGCTGCCAGCCGGCCCCCAGGACGGAGCAGCATCTGAGCGCCGCCGAGGAGGAGCTGCGTGCGCCGAGGAGGAGCTGCGTGCGCGGAGGCGGGAAGGCCAGCCCTGGCCCGGAGGCCCTCAGGGCGGATGAAGGGACGAGACACTCGTGCCTCGGATCCGCGCTCCCTGCGGGTGGTCCCAGGTGCTGCGTCATCCAGTGAGGCACCTGGAACTGTGACTGACCCTGACGGAGCCCTGACCTTCCAGCCCCGCGGCCAGAACGTGTTTCCTCTGCCTCACACAGGTTGAGCCGTGTCTGGCGATGACGCAGCCTCTTGGGGGCCCCTGCCCCACCTACCAGTTTGTGGCCCCTCGGCCACGCCGCCGCACCTGCCCCAGCGTCCCCCCCGGCACCCGCCCCGGCACCTGAGGCTCACTGACCCGGTTGTTCCCTAGGTATGTACAGGAGGTCATCCAGCGGGGGCGCTCCTGCGTCAGGCCAACGTGCACACCTGTGCTGAGCGTGGTGCCAGCCGTGTCGGACTTGGAGCTCTCCGAGACAGAGTACGTGCGCCGCCCTGGCGGGCCCCAGTACCGCTTACCCAGACTGCGCGTGGCCAGGTCCTGCAGTGGAGCCACTGTCCCCGGGACTGTACCTGGGGCGCCGCACTGGAAGACATGGGCCGGGCTCAAGCTTCCCGTGTGCATGGAAGGAGATGTAGGCCGTCCTCGTGTGCCCCGTGGCCAGCAGGCCAGAGAGGAAGTTGTGCTCTGCCCCCGCTCCGGCCCATGTCCCCCGCGCGCCGTGACTGGCCATGGTTCCCCTGGCTCAGCACCTGCACGGTGGCCCGGCTGTGCGCAGGGGCTGTGTGCACACCAAGTCCGCTCCGTTCTTGTGTGGAAGGCAGGCGTGCGTGGACGCGTCCGCTCCCCGGGCTCGCGCAGAGCAGGGTGGGCACTGGGGAGCATATGTGCACAGGACAGAGCGAAGGAGGGCCCCTCCTCATCCCAGGCGATGCTTTGTCATGTCCAGCCCGATGCCTGAGGGGCTTCACTCCTCAAGGGTGGTCCCTGCGTCCCTCCTGCAAGGACGGACCCCCCGGGGCCCCTGCCCCCCACCGGGAGGGTACAGGATGCGGGCAGGGCAGGCATGCAAGCTTGGCTCGAGCAGTGGAAGGCCACAGGCCCAAGTAGGCACCTTGTATGCCCAGGAGCACGAGGGCGAGGGAAGGTCGCCGCCGTGCGCTCAGATGACCTTGTGATGCCGTAGTCTCCTCTAGCAGGGCTCTGGGCAGAGGCCACGGGCTGTGCCGAGCCCACCTGGGCCGCCCTGGGGCGGTCATGGGGGTGAGCTGGACGACAGAGGGCACTCGCTGCCTGTGCTCTCGGACGCGGAGCAGTGCTCAGCACAGGCAGGACGAACAGGCAGGTCGGGGACCGTGCGGCCTCCTGCCCTCCCTGGGGAGTCTGGCCGCCCGTTGCCTCTGCTGTCTACACAGGCCGTCCGCGGCGGGCAGGTCCCTCTCCAGATCTGGGCACAGTGCTGTGTGCAGCCACCGGCCGCCGATGTTTCTGAAGCGGGAGGGCTCTAGGCCTTTCCGAGGGCACGCGCAGTGTAGACCTGCTGGGGCTGCGCTGGTTCCAGTAGCCTGGGTGTCTTGGAAGCCAGTAGCTGGGATCCGCCGTGGGGTCTGGCCCTGAGAAGCTCGTTCGCCATGTTCAGTGGTCTGCGTAGGGGGTGCTGCCCCGCTGACTCAGGCCGCGGGTGGAGACCTGAGGCCACGCAGTGGGTGCGGCGGTGGTGGGCCACTGAGGCAGCTGGGCGTGGGGCGGGCAGGCGGGTTGTGAGCTGGGTCCACGCTGCGTACTTGAGTGCGTGGGGTTGGTGTCCGCCCGGGACCCCATGGACTGAGGCCCCCGGGCCGGGCAAGGTGGGCGAGGGCGTGTCTGCGTTCGGCGAGACTGGCCGCTCCTGAGCGCCCTGTGTCCTGGGGCACCCGAGGCCCGTGCCCTGGGACCCGACCCAGCCATCACTACTGCGCCTCTGCCCCCAGGACAAAGTCACAGAGGAAGGCGGGCAGTGGGAGCACGCAGCCGTGTGACAGCATCGTGGTGGCCTACTACTTCTGTGGGGAGCCCATCCCCTACCGGACGCTGGTGCGGGGCCGAGCAGTCACCCTCGGCCAGTTCAAGGAGCTGCTGACCAAGAAGGGCAACTACAGGTGAGACCCGGGTGGGGCGGGGACCCTGCACAGTGCTGGTGCCTGTGCAGCAGGTATGCACAGTGAGGGAGGAGGGGCTGCAGGGGGGGCCGCGGGGGTAGGAGCTGCATGGGAGGGACGGGGGGGGGGGGGAGCTGCCGGGGAGGGGCCCGGGGAGGAGCTGCGGTGGGGGGGGAGCTGCTGGCGAGTGGCCCGGGGAGGAGCTGCCGGGAGGAGCTGCTTGGGAGGGACCCGGGGAGGAGCTGCAGGGGAGGGGCCGGGGAGGAGCTGCCGGGAGATGCTGCTGGGGAGGGACTCGGCGAGGAGCTGCGGGGGGGAGGAGCTGCGGGGGTGTAGCTGCTGGGGAGTGGCCCGGGGAGGTGCTGCCAGGAGGGGCTGCTTGGGAGGGACCCGGGGAGGAGCTGCGGGGGAGGAGCTGCAGGGGAGGGGCCGGGGAGGAGCTGCAGGGGGAGGAGCTGCATGGGAGGGGTCTGGGAAGAAGCTGGATGGGAGGGGCCTGGGGAGGAGCTGCAGGGGAGGGGCCGGGGAGGAGCTGCCGGGGAGGAGCTGTGGGGGAGGAGCTGCTTGGGAGGGGCCTGGGGAGGAGCTGCAGGGGAGGAGCTGCGGGGAGGGGGTGCAGGGGTAGGAGCTGCAGGGGAGGGGCCAAGGAGGAGCTGCAGGGGAGGGGCCGGGAGGGGGTGCAGGGGGAGGAGCTGCAGGGGAGGGGCCGGGGAGGAGCTGCAGGGGAGGAGCCGCCGGCCAGGCGCGCGCCCTTACGTTCACCCCCCAACCCCCCGCCCCCTGCAGATACTACTTCAAGAAAGTGAGCGACGAGTTTGACTGCGGCGTGGTGTTCGAGGAGGTTCGCGAGGACGAGGCGGTGCTGCCCGTCTTCGAGGAGAAGATCATCGGCAAAGTGGAGAAGGTGGACTGAGCGCCGGCCTGGCGTCCGCGCCGCCTCGGGCCCGGGCAGGGACGCAGCGTCCGAGCAGGGCAGGCGCCCGGCGGGCTGGAGGCCCGTCCTGGGGGCCCACGGGCCTCCGCCCCTCCACGGTGGTCCTGCGGGCGTGGCCGGGCCCTGCTGCTGCTGTTGCTGCTGGCGGACCATCCCGCTGTGCCCGGCGCTCTTCGCCCCGCGTCACCGCGCAGGCTCCGCCGCTCGTCCCGGGACTCGCCCGCCACCACCTACCCCAGGCAGGCCTAGCCAGGCCTGGGGTGGGTGCCAGGGCCCCGGGCCTCTATAAATTGTACATGTCACCGAGTGCCTTCAACACAGCTTGTCTCTTGCCTGCCACTGTGTGGATCCGGCGATGGAGCCCCGTCGCGCTCGCCCACCCCTCCCGGGCGCGGGCTCAGCGGGTCCGGGCCCCTCCCTCTTAGGGCCCCTGTAAATATGTACATTTCTCAGGCCAGGGCCAGTGGGGGGCTGTCCCAGCCCGTTTTTCATGCGCTGACTTGTACAATTATCTTTTCAAAGGTACTTGGATAATAATGAAATAAAATCATTTTTGAACCTTCTCGGGCTGCGGACACGCACGTCTCCGGTGGTGGCGCCTGGCTGGAGGGCTTGCCGGCCCCAGGGGGTCAGGGTGTGCGCAGGGTGTCTCCTGGACAGCGGGGCGTCCCCACACCCAGACCCGAGTCAGGCTTCCACCCAAAAGGGATGGGGGCTACTCAAGACAGGTCGGGGCCTGGGAGGCTCCTGGGGTAACCAGTCGTGCTCAGGAACCACACACAGCCCAGGGCCAAATCTTTATTCACTGCCCAGCTCCCAGGGCATGGATGTGGGGGCAGCAGAGCGGGACGCGGGGGCAGCAGGTGGTGATGCGGGGGCAGCTACAGCTCCTCCTTGGGCTCCGCGCTGGCATTGGCTGGTGTGTCCTGAAGACAGAGGCCCAGCTGGAAGCTGCACCCTTGCTTCACCCCTGCCACCGGCAACCCCAGCGCCACAGGCCCAGAGACAGCGACCTTGGGACAGGCACCCACCGGGAAGGGGGCCATGGGCTCCTCAGCTGGCAGCTCGCCCCCGTTGTCCAGAAACTTGGAGAAGGTCTCCACGTCCCTAGTGCTTTTGTACTCGATCACCTGAAGGACGCCAGGTTCCGCGCAACACGCCCCACCACCGGGGCCTACCCCGGCCCTCGGGCTCCGCGCCACGCGGAGGAGGCCCCGCCCCGGCCAGGCACCGCCCGGCACCGCCCCGCCCCGACGCCCTGCGTCACCGGAGGCCCCGCCCCAGCCCGCGGAGGGCGCACCCGCCTCACCTTCCGCCCCGGGCCCGCCGGGAAGTACTTGAGGGTCGGGAAGCCGTGGACCGGGAAGGCCTCCAGCTCGTTGGCGGTGGCGTCCAGCTCCGCGATGACGATGTCCTCGTGGTCCTTGTACTTCTCGGCCAGGGCCTCCCAGGCTGCGGCCATCGCCTTGCAGTGCGTGCACCACGGGGCGTCTAGGGCAGCGGGGCGTTGGCGCGGCCGCAGGGCCGTCCTCCCTCCCCCGCCCTCCCCCCCGCCCCCTCCTTCCTTCCCCCCCACGCCCCCTCTCTCTCGCTCCCCCCCTCCCGCCCCCCTCTCTCCCTCCCCCCCTCCCCCCCGCCGCCCGCGCCCTCTACACTCACAGAACTTGACAAACACGTTCTTGGTTTCATCGAAAGCCACCTGCTCGAAATTCTTGCCCACGAGGGTCTTGACCGGCCGCCTGTCCCAGTCGGGGGGCACGTCCTGGCTCAGGAGGTAGGGCTGCGGACGGGCCAGGGCTTAACGGGGGCCGCGGGCCTTGCGCCCACGCCCCCCCCCCCCCGCGGACAGCGGCAGCGCACCTTGACCTGGCCGCTGAGCACCGCGTGGCAGAAGGTGGCAACCGCGGCCGCGGTGAGTGGGCCGCCGCCCGCAGGCGCGTACTTCTTGGTGGTCTCCATGTTGATAAGGCGCAGGGCGGGAGCCTCCTCGGCCTTCAGGCCGAAGTACTGCAGCACGTGGGCATTGCTGGCGCCCACGTCCACGACCACGAACAGCACCTGCCGACGGCGAGTCCGAGGTGGCGCCCGGCCGGACCCCGACCCGACCCGGCCCCCACCCAGCCCCCCCCCCCCCCCCGCAGGTACCTGTCCCCGGAACGGGGGAGCCGCCTCCCCAAAGCCCTCCAGCAGCTCCAGGTGCTCAGCCAGCGTCTGGTTCACGAACAACAGCAGGTGGTTGAGGATCCTGGCCGAAAAGATCTTCGGGGACGTCTGCAGGGGCAGGCTGAGTTGGCAGGGCGGCTGCCACAGACACCCCCGCCCTGCACCACCCACCTCTGCAAGCACGCTTATAGCCCAGCTTGCCTGGCTGTTGAACTCTGTGACCAGGTGCATGCTGTGCGTGAGCAGGAAGCGTGACAGGTCCCCCTGGTCCAGGCCCAGCTCCTCGTCCACTGGGAAATCTGCCCGCCCCTCGTCAAACTGGACAGCACCGGACAGGTCAGCAGGAGTCCCGGCCCTGACCCCTACCCCCGCCTTGGCCCTGACCCACCTTCTTGAAAAGGACCACGGTGTCCTTGGGGACACCGAACTTCTCAAAGAGCTTAGGCTGGTCAGTAAGCCCGAAGGTCATGTCCAGAGCATCCTGGGCCAGGGCCAGGAAGGTGGCCACATCCTCGTCCTGCAGGTCCTACGGAGCCCAAACCTGTGAAGTCAGTGGGTGCTACGGGCCCCGCTCCCGCGGCCCGGACCCCAAGGGCAGCAGCTCACCCGGAAGAAGCCGATGACCACTACGTCCCGGCTATCTATCAGCGCCTGGGCTCCCTCCGTATCCGCCAGCCGCATGGCGCTGGGCCCCACCCGCCGTCTCAGCCACTCGGCCATGCCGTCGGCCTCCTTGGGGCCTGCGGAGAGTCCCTTCAGCCCAGGCCCAGCCGCCAGCCGCCAGCCCCCAGCCCCCGGGCCCGCGCCCTGCACCGGTGTACTCCTCTGGGTGTGTGCGGTTCCCGTCACGGAAGAACTTGAGCGTGGGGTACTCGGTCACGGCGAACTCCTTGGTCAGCTCCGCCTCCGCGGGCCCATCCACCTTGGCCAGCCTGGCTTCGGCTGACTCGGCCGCCAGCAGGGCAGCTGCCTTGTTGTACTCAGGGGCCAGCGCCTTGCAGTGCCCACACCAGGGGGCATCTGGGGGACAGGGCCATGAGTGGCCCCGGTCCCTGCCGCCCCCGCCGCGCCACAGCTGGCCGACCTCGGGTCAGTCAGGTCTGGCCGGGAGCATCCCGTCCACACCTCCCTCCTTCGGGGCCCATCTGAGCGTCTGCCCCGGAGCCAGGCTGCTCAGGGTGCCTGCTCGGGCGCAGGGCGGCCCGTCCTGACAGCAGGTTTGAGACGAGCCGTCCAGCTGCCGCCCGAGGCCTGCGCCCGGCCACCTGTGGGAGGTGCCAACCAAGGAACAGCTCTCCCTTGTGTAAAAGCCTGCAAAGATCCAGCAGGCGAGCAAGGCCCGAGTGCTGTCTGGCCGCCGCAGTTTGCGGATGGAGACGATCAAGGGTCTTCCCTGCAACTGTCCCCCCCTCTCTTGCTCAAGCTGGACGCCCCCCTCCAGGCCCAGCTCAGTCCCAGGGCTGGGCTTCCGACGCCGTTGGGCAAAGCCCCGGGAGCCCCGTGGGGAACGAGTGCCCACTGGGGCAGCCCGGATCCGCAGGGTGGGGAGCTGAACCCTGGGGTGGCCCCTGGAGCTCCTCCAGCCCACCAGCCCGGTGCACTCACAGAACTGCACCAGCAGGGTGCGGTGGGCCCGCAGGGCCAGGCCCAGGTTGCGCTGGTTCAGCACCAAGATCCCATCCTCCTCAGGGACCTCCTCCTCCTCGGGGGGCTCCTCCTCGGGCCCCCCTGGCCCCTGTCCCCGCAGGCCTGAGGCCCCCAGCAGCAGCAACAGCAGCGCAAGCAGGAGCTGGCCGTCCATGGCAGTGCCGGCCCACGAGGCAGGGGGCAGATAAGGGGGCCGGGGGCCAAGCAGCAGCCGCCACGTGGCACCCGGGCCCAGGCCCAGGAGATAAGGCCACCGCCCCCCCCCCCCCAAGGCAGGGAGGCAGACAGAAGCAACACCCAGGGCAGTGAGACAAGGCGACTTTAATAGGGCCGTTCAGGGCACAGGGGCAGCCCAGGGAGGGGGGCGTCCCAGGACGGGGCGGTGGGGGGGATCACTGAGCGAGGGGGAGCCAGGACCCCGTGGGAGGACGGCCCCCTGGGTGGAGGCATTCAGCTCTTCCAGTCCTGGCAGATGTGGAGGCCCCACTCCCAGGACAGGTGGTCCGTCCTGTCGTCATCGGTGAAGAAGGACGTGACTACGTAGGCCCCCCGCACCAGGGCTCCTCGGGGTGCCTCCTCCACCGGCGTCACAAACTCATACTCCTGGGCGCGCGGGCCGTAGCTGCCCACCATGTACACGGCCTTGTCCACTGCGGGAGGGGGGCAGTGAGGGGCCACCCCGGGCCCTGCCCGCCCGCCCCGCCCATCCCCGCGCCCCCTCACCGCGCAGGCCCTGGCGGTAGGTGTGGTGCACACACTTGAGGCCACTGACGATCTCCCTGTTGACCTGAGGGACACAGGTGGTTAGGGGCGCCTCCAGGCGCTGCGCTGCTGCCTCCGGTGCCCCGCGACCTGGCCTCACCTTGAAGGTGATCTTCACTTTGTAGTCCACTCCCTCCTTCAGGACAAACACCTGGCCTTGGAGCGCAGCCAGCTCCCCTGCCGGGGAAAGTGCAGTTGAGGCCGGGCCGCCTCGGAGTCCCTGGCCACCCCCCGCCCGCCCGGGAGCCCCGGCTGGTACCCGTGAGGTCCATGGTGATGGGCCCCGGAGCCTGCTCGGACATCAGTGTCAGCCGGGTCACCTGCACGTTGGGCAGGCTCTCATCTGAGGAAACACCAGACGTGACCACGGTGCCCCCCGCCCGCGCCCCTCCCCACAGGCCCAGGCCGTGCGTACCCACGACGGGGGGCAGCGGCCCCAGCAGCGCCTGCTTGTACTTGGCCAGGCTCTCGTCCTCGGGGTCCAGCTGCTGGAGCTCCTGCAGGCTCTTCCTCCCCGGGGCCCGGTACTCGGGCACGGCCTCATCCAGGGCCTCGTCCGGGGGCAGCTGTCTCCCCTCCTTGTCCGTCAGGAGGACTGGGGGGTGCGGAAGGGCGTGAGCCGCTGCCACCAGCTGGCCCTGGCATCCGCTCATCGAGCCGGAGGCCCCCCTCTGGCCAGCCGTGCCCCGCGGTGCCCGGAGGAACTGGGGCAGCGGGGGAGGCTCGGGGTGAGGGGCTGGGGACCTGCAGCAGCACCCACCCCCGGCCCTGGGGTTGGAGAAGCCCCTGGGAGATGCAGCCGAGTGACATCGCAGAGGCACCAGCTGCCACCCGTCTGGGGCTCCTCCCTGGGTGGGGGGAGGAGGACCCTAATGGACACCGCACGGACTGCAGGCCCCGCTGGGAGTGGTGACCTGGAGGGCTTCCCCAGCGCGGGGGCTGTGCCCCCCACACCTGTCAGATCCCCGCGCCTTCCAGCTCCCTAGACACTCTGGCTCTGGTGCCCCTGAGGGACGGGGGGCAGCTGTGGGCTCTGCGCCCCCCACCCCGGGGCACCTGGGGGTCCGGGTCTCCTAGACCCCTCGCCACCGGCCGGGGGTCTCTCTAGGCGCCTCCCCCAGTCTCTCCCGACAGGGTGTCTCCCCCTGCGCCCCAACCTCCGTGATGGCCACAGCCCTAGAGGGGCCCAGCCCCACCCAAGGGAGGGGGGGCTCCGGCACCGTCCCCAGGGGAGAGGGTCTCCCGCCGGCTTCCCCAGCAGACCCGCCCACTCTGGGCTCTCTCGCCCCAGTGTCTGGCCCCGACGAAGCCCCCCACCCCCGCCAGGGCCCGGCTGGGCCGCGTCACAGTTTCCTCACGCGAGCCCCCCCAAAGTTTCCGCGGGGGAGGTCGCCGCCACCCGCGCCCCCGCCCCGCCGAGCCCCCCGCCCACGTGGCTGCCCTGGCCCCGGCCCAGCCGGCTCACCTCGGGCGCACAGCGCCAGCCGGAGCAGCTCCAGCAGCTGCGCCCCCAGCTCGCACGCGTCCAGGCCCAGCATGGTGGCCCGCGGCCCGGCCCCGCCGCCGAGGAGCCGCCGCCCGCCCCGCCGCCGCCCGGCTCGGCGCTCAGCCCCGGCGCGACTGCGGTGAGCTCATCCCGGCCGGGAGCGCCCCCCGCGCCCAGCGCCGCGCCCGCGCCGCGCGCCCCCAGCCGCTCCGCGGACCCCGCGCAGCCCCGCAGAGACGCGCGTGTCGCCCGCACGGCCGCCGCGGTCACGGGCCCGGCCCAGCCCGCACCCCGCTCGGGCCGCCCAGCCGCCCCACCCTGCGGCGCCGAGGGGGCCCGGGGGACCATCCGGGGCAGCCCTCCGGGAGAGGCGGGCGGGGCCGGGGGCGGGGGGGTGGGCAGGTGCCGCCTCCTCCCCGGGCCCCCAGGCTCTCATTACCTGCCGCCATGCAGGCCGCACCTGCGGCCCGCGGCTCCCCTCCCACCCCACCCCCGCCACATCCCAGGGGATCGCAGTCACAGGCGACGGGGACCTGTCCGCACCCTGAGACGAGGGTCCCTCCACGTAGGCAGAGGCATCATGGAGTCCCACAGGCCTTCCTCCCATTTCGGCACTGCGGCGACCCGAGCAGGAGAGGGCACTGACCCAAAGCAGAATCCTGGGGGTGGAGCCCTGAGGGGGTCTCTGGCTTCAACGCCAGGGAAACCTTGGGGTGGGCAGATGGGGGCCCCAGTGCAGGGAGCAGGGCTGCGCCGGGCCTCAGGCTGGGACAGCGAGATGAGGGTCTGCGTGGAGGACGGAGAACCCCAGCCCGAGGCCCTCTTCTTCCTCATTCCCCTCTGCCCGCCCTCCCAGGCTGAGGACACCCAGGATTCATTCCCACCTTCGCGGAACACAAGAGGGAGGGGCCCCCTGCCGTCCTGGCTTCACAGGCAGACCTGTCCCCCCCTGGTTCCTTTGCCCCTGAGTGTCTACCCTGCACAAACAGCTTCTCCGCCCCCAGCAGAGCCCAGCCGGGAGACCATGCCATGACGCCCCTACCTGCACCCCAGAGGAGGGCCATGGATGCGAGGGGACCCGTGGGCTTGGGTGGGGATTACCCGTTGCAGTTCTGTCCACAATTTTTCCAAGACAGGATTCCCCCAGCTGCGGGCCCCATTTCTGCTGCCCTTTCCCTGGGGGTGTGGGTGGGGTTACTTGATTAGAGAAGCCACTTGTCCCCAGGTAGGGGCAGCTATGGCCTCTGTGGCCTTCAGCATCAGTGGATAACCACCACCACCCCTGCCCAGAAAGGACAGTCAGGCCTGGAACCAGCCTGACCCCACCAGTGCGGGTGGGGATGGTTGGGAGTTCACTGGGATCTCAGGGAGGATGGTGCCCCAGCAGAGGTAGGACTCCCCCCCCCCCAGTCCTCCTGCCCAGCTCACCCTGGACCTGGCCTGTGCGCAGGGGAAAGGGATCAGTGCCCGCTGTCGGCCCTCCTGTCCTGTCCCCAGCACCTCCGAGGGGAGGAGGGCACCCTATCTCCCAAACAGAAATAGACCCACTCGAACTTAACAAAGTCCAGCATGAGGGCTCGGGGGTGGAAGTAGCCAAGCTGATGGCGAGGGAGAGAAAGGCCAGGACGCGATCCTGAGTATAGAGGCCGCGGGTGAACCCTGAGTGTGGATGCGAAGCGGGGGCGTGTGCGCGGGCCCCTCCCTGCCCACGGCTCCCCTCCCTCGGGCTCCGATACCCGGTGTCTGCGGAGCGGTGGAAAGGGAGCCGTCTGCGCTCTCGGCCTGGCCTCGCCGGACCCCGCCCGGCTCCCCTGCGGGCCCACCAGGGTCCACGCCCGCGCCCGCTCCTGGGGCGACCCCTCCGGGGGCCTCCGGGCCGCAGTCGGGGCAGGTGCGCAACAGGCCTTCAGGTGGGTCCCGCGCCCCCCCACCCTCCCTGGAGACCCTCCTCTCGGAGCGCCCCCGCCTGTCCCCGAGGAGCTCGTCCCACGGGCACGGGCCTCAGTTTCTCCTGCCGTGGGGGGGGAGGCCCTGTGAGCACCGAGGTTAACGGGGCCGGGGGCGGGCGGGGCGAGCGCTGCCCGGGGGCGGGGCCGCGGGCAGAGGCGGGGCCGCGGGCAGGGGTGGCTCCGACACCCACCGCCATCTGGCCTCGCGGGCGCCATGGCCGGGGGACGCGCGGGTGCACAGCTGCCGCATCTCAGCAAGGTGGGTGCCGGCCCGGAGTCCCCCCCCCCCGGGATTTCGGGCATCCGAGGCGGGAGAGGGGAGGGGGCGTGCGCACGAGAGCGGCCGCGGGCCGGGGGGCGACGGGGAGGGGCCCGCGCGTCGCCCCCTCTTCCCGCCTCCCGCCCCTCCGCGGCCCCAAATCCACCGTCCTGCGCGCTAATCCCCTGCGAGCTCGCTGATCCGGGGCGTCCCGGCCCGCGCGGGGAGTCAGGACCCAGGGTGGGGGCTCCCCCCGCAGCGGCCCCTAAGGCCCCCCCTCGCGCAGATGGAGCGAGTGGTCGTGAGCATGCAGGACCCCGACCAGGGCGTGAAGATGCGGAGTCAGCGCCTGCTCATCACCATCATTCCGCACACGGTGGCTGGTGAGGCCCCGCGGGGGCGGGGAGCGGGGGCGGGGGTCCGCGGTGGCGGAGGCCCTGCATCGGTCTACCCGACCCCACACCCCCTCTGCTGTGCAGGCGGCGACATCGCGGAGTGGCTGATCCAGAAATACTGCCTCTCCGAGGAGGGTAAGGGGTCAGCCCCTCGCTCATCCCGCGCCCCGCCCCCTGCCCCGGGTCGCCGCGCGGGTGCCCTGGGCGGGGAGCACCGGCCTGGTTCTCCGAGGCTGAGCCCCCACCCGCACCCCCAGAGGCCCTGCACCTGGGCAGCCTCCTGGTGCAGCACGGCTACCTGTACCCTCTGCGCGACCCCCGCAGCCTTGTGCTCCGGCCCGACGACACACCCTACAGGTTTCAGGTCAGGTGCAGCTGGGAGCCCGTGGGAACCCCAAACCCCGCAGCCCAGCGGGAGGGGACTGGGGGAAACGGTGGAAGTGGTGATGTCCCCACCGGCCTGGGGCCACCGCCCCTCCCCAAAGTGCTGGACGCAGTGTCCTGTGTAGAAGGACCAAGTTAAGGGGAGAGACTGTTAGCAGGGACTCCTTAGAGGGTGTGGGGGATTCTCTCAGGATCCTCAAGCTGCCACTCATGAAGAAGGGTGCGTGGGGCCTGAGACAGGACCCCAGTCCCGATGGAGCCCCCTTCCTGGCTTCCCTGGCCACAACAGGGACTCAGGCAGTCCCAGCCGGGTGGTCAGCACAGGCTGAGGGCAGGCCCCACCGCACCCCACCAGGTAGTAGGGCCTCAGGGAGCCCAGTCCATGAGATAGTGGCTGCCCCGGGCCCCAGGAGGGCATGGAGCTGGGTTCCGGGGCTTCCGGGTGGGGAGGAGGGCCAGTCGTCTGTGAGTCTGCAGGCTGTGGACAGACAGGCAGGTGCGGAGGCACCACCTGGCCAGCCCAGCGTCTTCCCAAGGGAGCAGGGAAGGTGGACCACGCCTGGGGTGGGGAGGGCCCAGGAGGTCCCGGACACCCTGCCCCTGCACCACACCAGACACCCTATTTCTGGACGAGCACCCTGGGGCCAGCCACGGAGCTGGACTACGGTGAGTGAGGAGGAGCGGGCCGGCCTGGGACCACTCTCTGCGCTGCTGTACTCCCAAGCGGAGCACCAGGGAGGCGGCGCAGAGCCTGCTCTAGCCTGGCCCCCCGTCCTTCCAGCCATCTACCTGGCCAAGAAGAACATCCGAAAGCAGGGGGCCCTGGTCGGCCACGAGAAGGTGGGCCCCCCCGCAGGCTAGCCCAGCCAGAGGGCTCTGGTCCCAGCGCTCACCGACTGCCCTGGAGCACACAGCCAGGGCCCCCGAGTACAGCCCCCCAGACACATCATCCCGCTGTCTCCGTGGGGTGGTGGGTGGTCCGCACCCCAGGGCGGGACCCGTGAGGACTCACCCAGCGGAGACCTTGGTGTCCCCCAGGAGCACTATGACCAGTTGCACAGGAAGATGAGCCACGCGTGGGACCTGGTGGTGGTGCAGGCCAGGGAGCAGCTACGGTAAGCTCTCGCCCCTGCTCGCGCCGGGTGGGCGCCGTGGGCAGCACCGGGAGGCCCCGTCCTGCCCAGGCCGGTCGCTGACCCAGGCTGTGGCCTCCGTGCCCCCCAACTCCGCCTACCCCCGCAGGGCAGCTAAACAGCGCAGGAAGGGGGACAGGCTGGTCATTGCGTGCCAGGAGCGGACGTACTGGCTGGTGAACAGGCCCCCGGTAAGCCCGGGTGTGGGGGGCACGTCCTTGTACCGCAGCGGGGTCTGCCGGGAGTCGCGTGTTCCCTAGGCTGTGGCTTTGGCGGCGTCTTGGTTCTGTGACCTGTGAGCACACAGAGTCACGGGGCCGGGCCTGAGGCTGCGGCCATTCACACAGGGGTGTAAGGGGGTGGGCGCAGCGGGGCCCGGCTTAGGGGCGGCAGCGGCATCGAGGAAGCGAGGTCGCAGGCCAAGAGCAGCGGGGCGTGGGTGGCTGGTCTGCGTGAGCCTACGGCGGGGGCTGTGCGGGCCACGGGTGGAGGGACCTGCGGGCACCTCATGGGGGGGGCCCGGGGGCGGGTGTCTGGGCAAGTGCGCGCTCGTGCTCTGCCAAAGGGCCCCGGGCCGGTGGACGGGCCCCAGGACTGGCAGGTGTGTCCCCGTGGGGGACCCTGCCGCTGCACCTGGAGCTGCCGCTGGGGGTGGGGGTGGGGAGGCGACCTGGGCCTCAGGGAGCCGGCACCAGGCTGCCAGGTGTGTGGGGATGAGTGACCGTTGCCCCGGGTGGTTAGAGGGGCGCCTGGCCCCACAGCTGGCAGCAGCGCAGCTCTAGGGCCCCGGGGGGGTAGGGGGGGTGAGGCCAAGGCCCAGCGCCCACGGCCTACTTCCAAAAGAAGAGAAAGAAAAAAAAAAAAAAGAAGAGAAAAAGAAGGACGCATGGTCTGCGGCGGGAGCATTCGGGAACTCTGAGCACTCTGGAGCTCTGGAGTGGGGAGGTGAGGTCCTGCGGGTGGGGGGGGGCCAGGCAGAGGCTCAGGGCCTCATGTCTCAGATCCGGGAGTTCCCCCGGACCCCCGGATGACACGCGGGTCAGAGCCTCGGCTCAGGGCGGCGAGCGGGGGGGGCAGGAACCCCTGCACCCACCTGGGACTTCCTCTGCAGCCGGGCGTCCCCAGTGTCCTGGAGCAGGGTCCAGAGCGCGGCTCCTGTGCCGCCGGGCGAGCGCAGCTGGTGAGGACCCTGCCTGCGGACCCGGCGCTCCCCCACGTGCCCTTGACCCTGCCACCAAGAGGCCTCCTGCGCCCCCACACCCAGACCTTTGCTCTCACCTCTTGCTTCCCCCACCTGTTGCCCCGGGTGCGAGTAAGCGTGGCAGGACTCTGGGGGGCCGGGGCTCTCCTTTGGGCTGGGCCAGCCTCACCGTGCAGGCCGAGGAGCACGGGCCCGTCACCCCCTCCAAAGCCTCCCGTGGCCGCTGGACCCAGAGGGAGCCGCATGTTCAGACCTGGCGTCAGCTAAGCCCTTTGTTCCCACAAAACCCCAAATAGCCTCGCGGGTAAAGCTCCCTCCGGGCTAGGAAACCGCAGGTCGTGGACTGTACACGGCTCCCCGTAGGGTCGCCCAGAGGCCCCGGCCCCCGCGGTGTGTGCAGGCTCCGCCCAGCACCCGGCTCTGAGCCCCTGCACTCTGCAGAACCCGGGCTCTGGGGAGCGCAGGGCCGCAGGCCGGAGCCCCAGCGTGGCCCCGTGGCCTTGCCTCTCCCGTACCACCGCCTTTAAAACCATGACCCAGATACACTTGAAAACATGAACTGGGGACAGTTGGGGACGTGAAAGGGGACTCTGTGCCCCTGTGGACTCCGTGGACAAGCTGCAAAGCTCCGGACTAGAGGCCCCCACGTGGTGCTTGGAAAGCCGGACGCGCCCTCTCACAGCGGAGGGGGCCTCAAGGGCCAAGCGGGGGGTGTTGGCGTCGCTGCAGCAGCCCCAGGAAGGCCCCTTGGGCCGGGCTGGGAGGTCCCCCCCCCGCAGGGCCTGCCCCTAACCGCAGCCGCTCGTCCCCCTGCAGACCCAGAGCCCGGAGTTCTACAGGCAGGAGGTGGGTCCCGGGGCGGGGAGGGGGGCGGGGGGGGGGTCGGCGGGCTGGGCGCTGACGCCCCTCACGGCTGCACCCAGGTGGAGCACTGCAGGAAGGCGCTGGCCAGGACCCGGGTCAAGTCCTCTGTCTGCCTTGAGGCGTGAGTTCGCTGGGGGCCCGAGCCCAGACCCTCCCTCGGGCACGTCCCCACCACCGTGCCCCGGCCGCATCCTGGCCCCTGGCACGCCCCCCCCCCCCCCCCCGCCCCAGGTACCTGAACTTCAGCAGCCAACGTGGCCCGCACGACCCCTTCCTGTCGGGCTGCCTGCCCAGCAACCCCTGGGTCACGGACGACGACACCTACTGGATGGTGAACGCGCCCAGGTGAGCCCGGGGCGGGGTCCGTGCCCCCCCCCCCGCCTCCCCCGTGCTCCTGACCTGCCCCTTCGTCCCCGCAGCGTGGCGGTGCCCACGAAGCTCCGCGTGGAGCGGTGGGGCTTCAGCTTCCAAGAACTCCTGGGAGACCCCGTGGGACGGGCCCATTTCTTGGCCTTCCTGGGGACGGAGTTCAGCGGTGAGCAGCCCCTGCCCTGCGCGGCCCGAGGCGGGGGGGGGGGGGGGGATCCCCGGGGTGCTCCCCGGGCCTCACCGGCTGTGCACCTGCAGCCGAGAACCTCAGCTTCTGGGAGGCGTGCGAGGAGCTGCGCTACGGAGGGCAGGCCCAGGTCCCCGCGCTGGTGGACTCGGTGTACCAGTGAGAGGGGGGGGAGGCGCGTGGGTGCCAGGGCGGCGTTCGGGGGTGGCGTGCGTGCTGGGGCGTGCGTGCGGGGGCGGCATCCGTGCGGGGCTGCCTGCTCGGGGCTGCGTGCCGGGACGTGAGTGCGTGCGGGGCGGCGTGCGTGCGTGCGTGCGTGCGTGCGTGCGGGGCGGCGTGCGAAGCCCACAGCGTCCGGGCCGGCCGCGACGCAGGCAGTTCCTGGCCCCTGGCGCCGCCCGCTGGGTGAACGTGGACAGCCGCACGATGGAGCGCACGCTGGCGGGACTACGGCGGCCGCACCGCTACGTGCTGGACGACGCGCAGCTGCACATCTACATGCTGATGAAGAAGGTGGGTGTGCGGAGTGACTTGTGCTCCTGCCGGCGGCGCCGCGGGCCGCTCCCAGCACGGGTCTTAACGCGCGCGTTCCCGGCTGAGCGGCGCCCTCGTGCCTCCTGCCTGGCGGTGGTGTCGCTGGCCGCTCGGGGCGTGTCCGGACTGTCGTCCGCCCCCAGGGCCCCGGGCCCCTCCCGCCGCAGCACAACCCCGGGGCCGCGCGGCGCAGACACGGTGGGGGCTCGGTGTCCCCGCGGAGCTGGGGCTCGGTGTCCCCGCGGGGGCTTGTGCGCTGCGGCAGCCGTGGGCTCCGGTGGGGGTGAGGCAGCGCGGGCCCCAGCCTGGAGCCTGAGGGGACGCCGCCCCGCTCGCAGCCGCTCGCAGCCGTGCAGCGTCGGCCTGTGTGTTTTGTCGTCCCGCAGCGCCTCCCTGATGCACGAGGCCGTGGGGCCCGGACGCGCCTCACCGCGGGGTCGTTGGCCCCGTCGCATGCAGAGCTCTTGGCGGGGCGGGGGGCGCGGTCACAGGTCTCTGGGACCCTCTCCGCGTCCCACGGCCTGCAAGTACTTAGTTTCTTTTCCGTTGGCTTGAATTTGGGTATAAGCGGGTACACGTGCTAGGATTGGGCGTGAAGCCTTTAAGCCTTTTCCCCAACTAGGCCGCACGGGGCGCGGCGCGGGGCCGGACCTCCCGCCCGGGGTCCAGTGGGGCCCGACCTCCTGCCCGGGGCGCAGGGCTGAGCGAGATCCGAGGCGGGCGCCGGCCTGCGCCTGCGTTGGGGGTCGGGCTCCTTCCTGGCTCGGCGGCCCCCACGGCCTGGGTCTGCTCTGCCCGCCCTGCGGGGTCTCTCATGGGTCTCCTGTTCCCTGTGACTCCGTGCATCGGTGGTCGTTTCGCCCTGTTTGTGTATTGGTTGGGTTGCGGGGACGCGTTTGCTGTGTGGTCCCTCCAGAGAGCAGGCCCGGGTCCCCTGGGGCAGGCCCGCGCGGGCGGCCTCCCGGTGTCTGCCACGGGCGCTCGGCGACGTCCGGTGATCTTCAGGCCTTGCCCGCCCCGGGTCTCACCCGCTTTGGCTCGCAGTGTCCCGCAGTGTGGACGGCCCAGCCCGCGTCCCGCAGCCACCGCGGGGCCCGGCTCCTCCCGCCCACCCGGAGCGAGGCTGTTCACGAACCGAGCCGGGTGTGTCGCCGTCGCCTGGTTGGTGTCAGGGCCGGACCCTGAGCACAGGCGCAAAGGGCGTGTCCTGGGCGGAGTCGGAGCCCCTGCCGCTCGCGGTCCTTGCCGGGCTCCTGGCCGAGCCCCGGCCCCCCGGTCTCCTCGCTGCTCCTCTGCGCGCGTCCCACCTGAGGACCCCGGCTCCTCCGCGCTCAGGGCGACGGGCCCTGGACGCCCTGCTGCCTTGGGGCGTGTTATCGTTGATGTTTGGGAATTATTATTTTAGCATTCTGTGAAGCATCAATATACTTTCAAAATCCAACCTACAGGGAAGGTGGGTTTCAGGGAAGCCCAGTCCTGTCTGGATTCTTGTGTGGTCTTCTCACGTTTTCACCAAAATTAATGACAAAACTTGTATTTATTTTTTTCTTTGAATATAAAGGATTACGTTCTTAGATTTCTGTTCTTTGCTGTATGCTCTACTTTTTCTCGAGCTTGCCTGTTACCCCACTGCGTCCCGCCCTCCCCCTGGGGGTCCGCGGAGGACCCGGTGCGGTGGGCCTGGGGGTGCCCGGGGGGTCGCTGCAGGTGCCCTGGTTCGCCCAGCCGAGCCCATGGTTCCAGGGGTAACAGGCCAGCTGGCCGGGAGCCGGGGCACCGCGTCAGCGTGACTTGGGGGGGCAGGTGGGGGGGGCGGCGCGGGAGGCTGGCCGGTGCCGTCTCTTGCAGGACTCGTACCCGCGGTTCCTGAAGTCGGCGGCGTACAGGGACCTGCTGGCGGACGCCGTGGTCCCTGCGGAGGCCAGGAGACGGTGAGGCAGCGGCGGGCAGCAGGTGCCCCGGGAGGCGGGCAGCCCCGCTGGGCCCGCTGCTCAGCGCCCTCTCGCCTGCAGGGCCTTTCCGTTCTTGCGGAAGCCGCCACACCCGAGCCCCAGCCCTGCGCTCCTTCCCGCCTCCACGTCTGCGGAGCCTGTGGCCGCCACAAGTGACCCTGCGTGTGGGAACGGGGGCACCTAGGTGGGCACCAGCGGGGGGCGGCCTGGCGGCTTCTGAGACCCACGCCTGGTGTCCCCCTCTGCCCGAGGGCACGTGGGCCTCGTGGGCTCCCTTTGCCCCGGTCGAGCCCTCCCCTCCCCAGAGGCACCGGCCCAGATGGTGCTTCCCGGGACGGTGTCTGCATGTGAGCTGAGTGGCCTGGAGCCTCAGGGACGACGCAGGCCCAGCTGGGTGGGCCCCATGAACCCCACGAGCCCCGGCGGCATCTTGCACTCCTGTGGATGGACCGGCTGGTGAACGGCAGGGCGTCTCCAGCAGGTGGCTCATCGGGAGGAAGTGCGGGCTCTGGGGCAGATGCACCCTCTGCGCTGTGCTGCATGGCCTCGGGGACCCCCTCGCCATGCCCCCAGTTCCTGCCCTTCAGCCAGCTCAGAGCCAGCCTCCTGTGTCCTGCCAACTCTGTGGCTGTCACTGCGAGTCCCACCTCTGCTGCAGGGACACATCTAGCAGGTGTCCTCGAGGCTGTGGCTTCTGGCTCGGGGCAGGGGAGGCCCCTGGGGAAGGGAGCAGGTGCCTAAGCTGGAGTGAAGTACCCCTGCCACCCTTCCCAGTCCTGCCCAGGAAATAAAAGACCCTTGGTCCTCACTTTGAGCCCACCTCGTGGTCCTGAATCGTGGGCTGAACGTATGGCGTGTGCGGGAGGCACGCGGTGCCCGCGACACAAGGTGTAAGGTGCACGTGAGCTGGGCGGCGGCGGAAGACGGTGCGGGGAGCTCGGCCATGAAAGGTGTTGGCCAGGGACGGTCCCGTGGTGGGGGGGTCCCCAGCAGACAAGGGACCCAGGCCAGACTCAGGCTGCAGACTCGGTGGCCTTGGCAGGAGACGCTGGGGCGTGTCATCCCTGCTCTGGCAGGACCAGGGTGCCTGAGTGCCCCAGGCGGTGGGGAAACTGAGTCCTGGGAGGTTGTGGGGAGAGTGGCCCTGTAGCATCTCCTGGCCAGCTGTGCCCTAAGTCAGAGCCCCAGAGGGATGGGGCCGTGGCTGCGTACTCCAAGCCCCTGGTGCAGGACGGCCGCCAGCACGGTGCCTCCTGAGCTGTGCCCCCAGCTCCTTGCTCGCTGTGCTGGGCCTGCAGGGGTGCTGTCTGGGCACACTCCTAGCTCCCCGCCCCCGGGGATTTCCATTTGTGCACCTGTCACTGTGGAACCCTTGTGCCTCAGGTTGCATGTGTGGGGCAGCAGCTTCTCACGGCAACAAGGGTCTTGCCCCTGGCAGAGAGCGGCCCCCGCTGCCCCTGGGCAGCTGCCTGGGGACTACAAGGGGTGCTCAAGGACCCCCTGCAAGCCCTGATGGGAGCACACCCGCCACGTCCCCAGGCTGGGTTCCCGACTTGAACCACGGTGACCAGCGAGGGCTCTTCACACCTGAGCTGCGCTTAGAGGCCGTGCAGGAAAATTCCCCAGGGCCCTACCTGCGACTGGGTGGGAGGGGGCCCCCCTCTCCAGCAGCCTGGCCGGCGCCGCGTCTGCTTGAGCCCTGGGAGCAGACACACAGGCGCACACCTGTGCTCTCAGTGCAAACCATTTATTCCGCTGTCTCCCGCGGGGCCCGGGTCATCGGGGCACCGAGAGCCCCACAGCGCCATGGCGGGCCTGGGGCACGGCAAGGCACGAAGGTGAGTCCTGTGTCGGTGGTACCAACCGCAGGGGGCATCCAAGCACCAGGAGGCGGCCAGGCATCGGCCAGGGGATGGGGACCCCCAAGGGATAAGCAGCTCCAGTGTGTACTGAGGGGCAGACCGACCCCCACGTGCCCCCGGCGGCCAGTTCCTCAGGACGTTCGCAGCACGTGCAGCCGACGCAAGGATGGAAGCACCCCTGGGCGCACCTCGCAGCCCCGTCCCTCGGGGGCCTGTCTCCACCAACCAGGCCTGAGTCCTCCCCTACTTGCTCCAGGAAAGGTTGGGACCAGGAACTGCCTCAAGGGCCCAGCTGGTGCCCCGAGGCCACCCGGAGCCAGCCACCCTCCCAGGCCCCAGGGGGATCTGCAGACAGGGACCCGGTGTGGATGAGCGGGGGTGGTGCTGTGGGGCCCCGCTCTACCCAAGGAAACACGATGATGGCAGCGGCTTTGAGTGTGACCCCAGGCGGCAGGGTGAGGACTGGGGGGCATGTGGCTGCACAGGTGATGGGAGCGGCCCGGGCACCCCTGGGTAGGACGGGGATTCTGGACCAGGAGTACGGGGGTTGGAGTGCACACCCAGGGAAGGACGGACTTCCTGTGGGGTTTAATGGCAGCAGCTGGAGTGTATCCCGCATCCGCTGGCCACCACGCGTCTATGCCTCACTCCGGTACCGCAGGCGGGAGAACCGGTCCCGGACAGCCTGGTCACTGTCAGGCCCGCCCTCCGCCAGGCGAACCACCCTACTGCCTGGGACAAGGTCCTGCACCTTGTGCTTGGCCACAGAGACTGTGCCAGGCGTGTCAGGGCCGGCCGGGCCCATCAGGAGGACGCAGGCAGCGTGGCGGCTCGGCTCAAACAGGACCGCTGTGGGAGACACGAGCCGTCAGGGCCTGGGGAGCAGTGGGCGGGACTGGCTGCAGCAGAGCCCTGCCCCGGGGAGGCCGCACACACCTTGGAAGGCGACAATGTTGGCGGAGATGTTGGCCAGCTCCAGCAGGACGCCCGGCAGCGTGGGGTGGAACATGTACAGGCTGTGCTGTGCGTCCTGGGGCCTCTAGGGTGAGAACCAGCAGTGGACGCCAGGTGGACCCACGTCTGGAGCAGGCAGACCGAGGGTCCTGGGCCCCGCGGCTGGGCCATGTGGCATCCATCCTCACAGGATGCTCTGCCCCGAGTGTGTCCACAGGCCACCACCGTGCCACCAGCCTCTGCTCCCCGACCTGGCCCTGACCCTCCTGCGCATACTCTTGCTGGGACTGCACCCCTGCTGTCCCCTGCGGGGCCCGTTGTGTGCCCCAGGCCGACTCCAGCCCCAGCCTCCCCCCCCCTCTGCTGGCTGCCTGAGCCCATCCACTGTCCACAGCTTCCATTATGTGCACGCCCAGGCTCCCAGTTAGCTCCCCGCCATTTCCAGGCATGACCCCAGCCTGGCCATGGCCTCTGCCTTGCCAGGAGGTGGGTCCCCTTAGCACCTGCCCCGCCCATACCGTCTGGTTGGTGCTGGAGAGCTCCGAGAGCTCGTGGAGGCCCCAGAAGAAGAAGGCTGAGCGGTGGTCTGCGGTTGGCAGGCTGGCGGACTGCGGGTCCCCAGGGAGGCCCCGGAGGGCCTGGCTCCACAGGACGGCCCCGCTGCCCAGGTCCAGGAGCAGGATCTGGGGGGTGGGAGGGCACGCAGGTCACAGGTGGGGCTGCCCAGGCCCTGGAGCCCCAGCAGAGCTGCACCCTGAGGGCAAGCAGGAGGGCGCGGCCAGCGCGGGTGGGGTGCTGGTGCAGCAAAGGTCCCTCGGCCTCGCTCACGGGCACAGCCTCAGGAGGTGCGGCTTACCTGTCTGTCGGTGCCGGTTCCGTTTTCGATGACCACGGCAGGGGTGTCAGGTTTGTAGTGGCCGAGGATAGGTTTTCTGCAAGGGAAGGGGGGGGTGAGAGCGCTCGCAGGCGCCCCCCCCCCACAGGGAGGCGGTGGGAAAACTCACAGAGGCCCTGGGGGAGGAGGCTTCAGGGGAGGGGAGAGGGGGTGGGAGCGCTTGCAGGGGGCCCAGGGGAGGGGTCGGAGTGCTGGAAGGCGCCTGCCCATCTGCACCCCCTGCCAGAGCCCCACGGGCAGCTGAAGCCGGATGGAGGGGCAGCACCGGGGCCAGGCAGGAGCCCCCCGACCACAGGCCTCTGCCCAGGGCCACCAGGGGCCAGGCCACGGTGCCGCCCGCAGCTACCGCACGGTTCCTGGGGGGAGACTGTACCTGAAGACCTGGGCAGTGCGGAAGGTCCACCGGGGTGTCAGGTCCTGGCCGTTGAGCAGCACACAGGCCTCCGAAGTCACGAGGAGGAGGTCCTCGCCCGCCTTCCCCGGCACGTGCGTCAGGTGGCGGAGGGCTCCTGGGCTGCGGGGACGGGAGGGGACAGTCGGTGTGGCAGGCAGGCTCGCCCCGTGCTTTCCCTGCCGGCTCCCCATGGCTGCTCTCCCCCCCGACCCCGCTGCCCGTGGAGATGAGGTGCACCCGGCGCCCCAGGATGGCCCTGCGCCTTCCACACAGACCAACCTGCGCCCAAGTGGCCCGTGGGGGGTGGCGTTGAGCATGCGCTCCCACAGCAGGTCTCTGCGCAGGGGGCTCGCTCCCCCGGTCGCTGCCTCGTGCAGGCCCTTCACGGAGCAGCCGCACAGGGAGCTTGCTGTCGGAAACGCAGGGGCCTCAGGACAAGGCTGCCAGCCCTGCTTCCGGGACTCTGGGTGCCCCCCACCCACCTCCCCTGCGGAGACTGCAGGCCACCCCTGTCCCTCCGGCACAAGCACCCTCCCTGGGCTCCCAGGCTTCCCCCACTCTGCGCCCTTGGGCATGTGGCTTCCACGCGAGGGACGGTCCTGCAGGTGGAGGCACGACGTACGGCAAGGGAAGAGGATGTAGTGAGCGCCCGCTCTGGTGACGTGCAGGAGGGAGCCAGCGGTCCCGCCCACACCAAGAGTGCCGCGGTGGCCGATCTGGCGTCCGGTGCTGCCAGAGTAGAGGTAGCCGCTGACCTGCAACACGCACGACGGCGCAGAACATCCCGGTTTGAGAAAAGGCCCTGAGTCAGGTGTGTGGTTCCAGGCACCTGCCCACCCGGGGACCCGGACAGCCCCGCTGCCGCGACACACACAGCCAAACGCACGGTCTACTGTCCTTGGGGGCCCACAGCTGCCACCCGCGTGCTGGTCAGAGGTGCCAGGAGCACAGGGCCCTGGGCAAGTCCCTGACACGTGGTCAGACCTGAGTGCTGCCCAAGAAGCAGAAGTGGACCAGGGGCCAGGGAGTGGGCCACAGCGACCTGGGGGAGCGTACCTCCTTGTCCTCCTGGGTGAGAAGCAGCAGGTCTGGGGCCCCGTCGGCATCGACATCGGGCAGTTGGAGTAACGAGCTCAGGTCGGAAGTGTTCCTCTCAAAGCCACGGGGCTGGCTCCACAGGGTCTCCCCTGAAACCAAGGACGACGTCACCAAGTGCTGCCCCCACACCCCCTTGTGCTGCGGGCTGGTGGTGCGCAGCGCCCAAAGATGGAATGCCCGCCAGCAGGGAGCCAGCCGACGTGCAGTGCGCGGCCAGTGGGCCGTCAGTCACTGACGCAGCAGAGTGCTCAAGTGTTGCCTCTGCAACCAGAAAGCTCCCCCTTCCTGCTGGCCTCTCATGTCCACCCCCACCCCCCGTGGCGCTAGGACATCACAGGGCCAATGCTGACCCTCCCACCGGGATGGGCGTCACCTGACCTTGACACTTCCCAGGACCCTGAGCCCCCAGGAAGGCCCTGGCGGAGTCCTGCTCACAGAAGGCACACGAGGACGCTGTGCGCTTATGGCCGGACCCACAGACAGTGCCAGCATGACAGCCTTCCTACCCGGATGCTATCTTGTCTACACCCTCTTTCATACTAATTTCCCCCAGCCTGCTCTTTTTTCCTTCTATTCCTTTAAAACCACCACTGGTGGGGGAAATGCCCTTGCCTGGCCCCCCTGGCATCCTGAAGCCCAGGCCTCACCCCGGCCGGTGACCCTGAGGCCCAGGGACCAGTGCCTGTGCACGCGGAGCCCTGACAGGCCCAGATGGTCCCCGAGGGCTCGAGTAGACGCCAGCCCCACAAGCACGGCTGGAGTGGGAGGTGACAAGGCAGGCCGGCAGTGCGCGTGACTGCTCAGAGGCAGCCTCCCCATGGGACTCCTTCCCCATCGTGCCCACAGGTCCCCAGGAGGAGGGCTGAACCACCTCAGAGCTGCCAGGCGTGGAACACCTGTGTGGAGCCACTCACCTGTGAATAAGTCCACGGCAACGAAGGAGCTGGGTCTGCCCACGAGGATGCAGGCAGAGGACGTCCTGCTGCCCTGTGTCTGTGGGACAGAGCACCGCACGAGGGCGCCGTCCTGGGCCGCGGGCCTCTCCCAGAGCACGCTGCCACTGGCCCCTGACACGGCAGCCACAAAGGTGCAGGGGGAGGAAAAGCCTGTAGGAGACACCAGCCCGGTGGGGGACTCAGCCCTGGTTGGCGCCGCCCCCCCCCCCCCGCCCCCGGCTCGTGGGGTCAGGGGTGTGCGGGGGGGCCAGAGGGGGCCCAGTCCTCCCGGGAAGCAAGGGCTGTATGCTGGTTCCCAGAAATCCGCCAGCTGCTTCCCCAGAAGAGGCAGAGGGCGCGGATCCCGCCGCCTACTGCAAGTTCCTCCTTTTACAGATAAAAGCAAATCACCTTCGTCGGTGCAGGATAGGTTGAAGTTGTTGCTGCCGTTGGCATTTTTATAAAGAAAGAGAACATCCTGGATCCTGTCCCTGTTGATGTCTTCTGTAGCCAGGAAGTCATAGGTGACTGAAAAAGGAAATCACAGGCCACTCCTCAGGCCACGGCTGCGTCTGACCCCATCCGCCTGTGCGCTCCCCGAGGTGGGCACGCGTTAGCGCCTCCAGCGTGAGGCCACCCTAGGAGCAGCGGCGACCTCGGCACCTCGCATCCCTCGTGGACACGACGCACGAACGCTCAGGTGTCGGCTGCCCGGGAAGGAACAAGCAGGGCACCCGGCTGTACGCGTGCGGACTCTGCACACCTTCTCGTCAGGAAGAGATCCCTCCCGACCTGCGCCCGGGGCCTGGAGGCCGCACTCTTGCAAACGGAAGGCTCTCCTCCTTCCATCCAAGGACTCAAATGATAAACTACAAGGATTAAAATCAAACACCAAAAGAATGAAGCTGGGCTGACACCACATCCAAAACTGAACGAAAGGGCGCCTGGGTGGGTAGTCAGTCAAGCATCCGACTCTTGATTTCTGTGCAAGTCATGATCTCAGGGTCCTGAGATGGAGCCTCGCGTGGGGCTCTGTGCTCAGCATGGAATCTGCTTGCCCCTCTCCCTCTCTCCTTCTCTCTCTCTCTCTCTCAAATAAGTAAAATATTTAAAAAAACAAAACAAAAATAAAGAATTCAAAATTGGTCAGACGCCTAAGCTTAAGAGCCTCCTAGAAGAAACATAGAGAAAAATCTTCATGACATTGGATTTGGTAATGATTTCTTGGATGTGACACCAAAGGCAAGGCAACCAAACAAAAAAACAGACAAAGTGGAGTCCATCAAAATGTAAAGCCTTTGTGCGTCAAAGGATACTGTTGTGAGTGAAGAGACAACCCACAGAGTGGGAGGAAATACTTGCAAATCTAGCATCTGACAAGGGACCCGAGTCAAAAATGGGCAAAGGACTGAGAGGCCTTTCTTGCACGAATATAGATAAATAGTCCTGGCACGTGAGAAGATGCTCAGCATCACCAGCAATTAAGGAAATGCAAATCGGAGCAGTAACGAGACACTACCTCATCCTTTTTTACCCAAAATAACTGGGAGAAGGAACTCCATTCCCATACAGCCAGTTCGCTGCGTCATTCATGGCAGCCAAAAAGTGGAAAGAAGCCAAATGTCTGTGGACAGAGGAATGGATGAGCAGTGCAGTCCACACCCAACACACATTATTCCCCCATAAAAAGGAAGGAGAACCCGATGCCTGCTCCAGCGCAGGTGAGCTCTGAGGCCAATACGCCCGGTGCAGTCAGCAGGCGCAAGAGGGCAGATGTTACGTGATTCCACTTCTATAGAGGTCCCTGCAACAGGCAGACTCGCAAGTACACAGAGAGGCCAAGAGGCTCTGGAGTAGGGAGGAGGAGGGAGAGAAGTCCGTGTTTGCCATGTGCGGTGCTGTTGAGATGATGAACAGACCGCAGGGATGGCTGCACAGCACTGCGAGTGCAGTGACGCCAACCGATGATGCTCTTTACATGTATGGGATGTATATTTCACCACAATTTAAAAATAGAAATCAAACACCAGACTCCAGGCTTGGACGGTGCCAGTCTCACCCTCTACAGCTGGGCACCAGACTGAGGTCAGGATCAAAGGCAGCAGCTTCCCTGGCAGAGGGGAATGGCGGGATTCACAGCCAGGGGCCCAGGGGTACTGTGAGCTCCCAGGCCAATGGGGGAGGCCAGCTCTGGAGCCAGCCACAGGCTGGGATACAGGGCAGAGCAGACAACAGGTAGGGGGACTAGTCAAAAAGTGAACAGAGAGATCTGGAAAAACGAGAGGGTGACAGCTCTTCCTCGAAAGCCCCCACATATCCCAGCAGCCCAAGGGGCAGGAACCATCAGGTAAGAGGCCATAGAGACAAGGCCCCAGCTACGTACACACCTGTGAGAACAGAGTCACCCTAACAGTGAACCAGGCGAGGACACCACAAGAAGAGAAAGCGAAGTTCAGCGTCCCTCATTGATACAGACACTAGTGCTTAACACAAAGCAGCAAAATGAATCCAGCAACCAAGGAAAAGGAAAAGGGCTATACGCCATGATCTAGTGGGGTCTGCCTCAACAATTCAAGGCTGATTTAACATCTGAAAATCAATATAAATTCCATATTAATAGGAATAAAGGGCAAAAACCACCCAGTTGTCTCACAACCATAAAAAAGCATCTGACAATATTCAACACCCTTTCATGATAAAAAAAACTGTTAAAGGGTGTCTATGAAAAAACCTACAGCTATCATCATACTTAATGCTGAAAGAGGCAGTTTCCTTCCTAAGCTCGAGGAGATCTTTGTTCTTACCTGTCCAACGTCACCTGTTCTGTTGGCTGGAGGTCTTAGCCAGTAAACTCCAGCAAGAAGAAGAAAGAAAAAGGAATCAGATTGGAAAGGAAGAAGCAGGGCAGCCCAGGTGGCTCAGTGGTTTAGCGCCGCCTTCAGCCCAGGGCATGATCCTGGAGTCCTGGGATCGGGTCCTGCGTTAGGCTCCCTCCATGGAGCCTGCTTCTCCGTCTGCCTGTGTCTCTGCCTCTCTCTCTCATGTCTCTCATGAATAAATAAAATCTTAAAAAAAAACCAACCTGTCTGCTTTGCAATATTACATGCTTATGTAGGAAACTGCAGAGAATATACACACACACCTCCTAGTCTAATTAATGAGGTCAACAAGGTCACAAGACAAAAGATCAATGTAGTATCAGTAGTATTTCTGGGGCACTTGGGTGGCTCAGTAGGTTGAGTGTCCAACTCTTGGTTTCAGCTCAGGTCAGGGTCTCGGAGTCATGAGATGGAGCCCATCAGGCTGCACCGAGGGCTCTGTACTCCAGGGAAGTCGGCTGGGGGTTCTTTCTAGCCTCTCCCTCTCCCCCTCCCTGCTGCCCCTCCAGGTGCTCAAGCTCTCTCCAAAGAAAAGGACAGAAAAGAACCTTACAAAGATGCAAAGATAAGCCACTGGCTGCAAATATTTGCAAATCATATATTTCATAAAAGACTTGTATCTGCAGTACATAAAGAACTTTTATAATTCCACAATTAAAAAATCATATTTTTGGAGGCTCAGTCATTCAAGCGTCCAACTTGTGATCTTGGCTCAAGTTTCCATCTCAGGGTTGTGAATTTAAGCCCCACACTGGGCTCCGTGCTTAAAACAATAACATAAAATATATGATTTTATTTTTTAAAGATTTTTAAAAAAATTTTTTTAAAGATTTTATTGAGAGCGAGAAAGATCATGAGCAGGGGCCATAGACAGAGGAAGAAGCACATGCCCCGCTGAGCAGGGAGCCCAATGCGGGACTCGATCCCGGTACCCTGAGATCACGACCTGAGATGAAGGCAGATGTGTCACCAAATGAGGCACCTAGTTGCCCCTTATATTTTTCAAATGAGCAAGAATTTGTTTTTGTTTTTTTTTAATTTTTATTTATTTATGATAGTCACACACAGAGAGAGAGAGAGAGGCAGAGACATAGGCAGAGGGAGAAGCAGGCTCCATGCACTGGGAGCCTGACGTGGGATTCGATCCTGGGTCTCCAGGATCGCGCCCTGGGTCAAAGGCAGGTGCCAAACCGCTGCGCCACCCAGGGATCCCTCAAATGAGCAAGAATTTGAAGAGACATTTACCAAAGAAGATTTGAGAATGGCCAGTACCCCATGAAGAGATGCCCATCAGCATCCTGAGTCATTAGAGAAATTCAAAGTCAAACCACAACGTGATGGCTCTCTGTGGTCTGGGATGCGGAGAACGCAGAATCGCCGGGGTCGGGGGAGCCGGGAACGGTGCCGCCCGACAGAGGCAGCTGGGCTGTGACTCAGAAAGCTACAAATCAACTTACCACGAGTTTCAACATCTTCACTCCTAGCAATCTACCTGAGACCGAAAAACATGCGTCCATGCAAAGACCAATGTATAGTGTTCCTCGTGGTATCAGTCATAAAGGTAAGACAGTGAGCCACCCAGATGTGCACCAACAGGTGAACCTGTCGTGAGGTGTCATATGCGCAGGAAGCCTGTTCAGCCCCAGAGAGAAGCGGGGGACACGCTGTAACCAACAGATGGGCCTCAGTGAGAGAAGCTGGACCAGGACACAGGTCACGTGATCCTGTTCACGGGCCAAGTCCACAGAAGGCAAGACTGAAGGCAGGAGGCAACTGGTGGCAGCCTGGGCTGGGGGACGGGGCTGCTGGAATCTTCGGAAATGGGACCGTGCTGACAGTTGCACAGCTGCTCCGTGAATAGACTAAAAGTCATGGAGGCGCATACGTAAAACAAGTGACTGATCTGTCGTACAGATTATGCTTCAATAAAAGCTGCAGAAAACCAGCATACTTTATTCCCCCCTCTCAAAATTAAGCTTCAGACTCTGAGGCCTAACTGAGAAAGTCCCTTGGCTGCAGGAGACACCCAGCAGTGCGGCATGACAGGCCCAGGCCGCGGCATTTACACCCACCGCTGCTCCCACTCGTGACCAAGCCAAGAGTCCAGAGAAAGGCTGACTCGGGGCTTTTCATGAAGGCTGGTTCTGTGGGAGACACGGGGCACGTGGCGTCGGCGCTGCCAGCCGCAGTTGGTGGAGCCCGTCATGAACCCGGCCCCGAGATCTGCGGTTTCTTTAAATTCCAAAAGTGGCCAAATGGGCGCCTCCCTTGGTGCACACAGCCCAGGGCCTGCCGGTGCCCCCTGCACCCCACCCCAGGACCGGGCCCCGGGGCACACCTGCCGCGCTGTAGTCTATCCGCCACATCCCCTGCGACGCGGGCCGTTCCGGGCACGGGATGATGAACGAAACTACGAACACTACGAACAGGCAGACAAACAGTGAAAGAAAAAACACGACGGTGCGGCACCGGGAGAGGCGGGGCTGCCGGGGCGAGCTTTTCAGCTTCTCGTCTGCGTGGCCCGGGTTTCCTGGGGTCTCGGGCAGCCTCTTGTCTTCATTCCTCAGGGGGTGGATTTCGGCTTCTAGGTCCTTGCTGTCCATCGTCATATGCACATCCCAGAGCTCCGCTCCTGGTTGCTGCGTCAATAGAACAGGGACAGTCACACGGCTGCCGCCCCCCAAGCCTCCCGGGGCCCTGCCCTGCGCGGCCTCCCCGCGTGGGTGCGGCCGTCACTGGACCATCAGCCTGAGAAGCAAAAGCTAAATGTTGACGATGTCGCGGACGCCACCCACGACGGTCTAACTGGCAGACTGGTTGTGCAGAGTCAGCGGGCGGGGGTATTTTCATCCCGAACCCCACCCCACCCCACCCCCGGTGTCGCCTCTGGTGCTGGGGCCGCGGCAGGTCATACACCCACCGCGAGGCGTTAACTAAGCCCCGTGGGCCCACAGACCGCACAGTGGCCAGCACCCCCACGGGGCCGCCCCAGAGGGCTGAGCCCCGAGGAGAGCAGGCGACAGCGAAGGCGGCTTTGCTCGCCAGCCGGCCTGCGCTCACTGTGCTAAATGGGCAAACGACTTGACGTGACCACGTCCCGTTTCCTTGTTTATTTATTTTTAAGATTGTATTTATTTATTCATGAGAGACACAGAGAGAGAGGGAGAGACACAGGCAGAGGGAGAAGCAGGCTTCCTGAGGGGAGCCCGACTCGGGACTTGATCCCAGGCCCGGGGGTCAATGACCTGAACTAAAGGCAGCCGTTCAACCACTGAGCACCCCCCCTGCCCCCCCGGCGTCCCGCTCCATGTCCTTACTTGTAAAAGGAATCCAGCGTCTGTTTTGAGGGCTGCTGGAAGGATGTAGGTCGCAGATTCATATAAAGCACTCCTCACAGCGCCTGACATTAAGCACTCAAACGCTAGCTGATTGTTACTAATAATGACGCACGACGTGCTGGACGTCCACGGAGGAGGCAGTGGACAGCAGGCGACGGGTTCGGGGGCCCTGCCTGTGGCTGGGTGGACATCGGTGACCGTGCGGGGCCCACCTGCAGGCACCCTGGGAAATGGGGCAGGGAGGCTTCTGGGGACGGCCAGGCCACAGTACAGAGTGTGCGTGGGGCCCTGCAACTGGAAACCAGCATCCATCCCTGGGTTCCTTACACACAAGAAAGGCAGGTTTGTCTGCCTGGTGTGAGGCAAGGTATCTGCTGTTCGGGTCTTTTTTAAACCTCCAAACCAGTGTCCTAACAAATGCACTGTGTCAAGAGAACGAAAGGGCCTATGGGTCTGAGTTGTCAGCCTTGTGGACCCAAGAAGGTGGACGGTACAGGCCTCAAAGGGAGGATGAGGCCAGCGGCAGGCGACCGATGGACGCTGGTAGCTCAGAGTGGCCCCCCAAGGACAGCTTATGGAAGATGGGAGGAGACCAGAGACGGCTGGTTTTTCTGATAAACTTTTTACTTTCTGACTTTAACTGGTTTTCTCTATATAATTAAAACAATTCATTTAAACACCTGTGTGTAGCCACCTGGGTGGTCCAACTCTTGGTTTTGGCTCAGGTCATGCTCTCAAGGTCGGGGGATCGAGCCCAGCGTCGGGAGCCCCTCTCGGCCCCACCCCACAACCTGTGCACACCCCCATAAGGGTAGCTTTTTTTAATTTTTTTTTATTTATGATAGTCACACACAGAGAGAGAGAGAGAGGCAGAGACACAGGCAGAGGGAGAAGCAGGCTCCATGCACCGGGAGCCCGATGTGGGATTCGATCCCGGGTCTCCAGGATCGCGCCCTGGGCCAAAGGCAGGCGCCAAACCGCTGCGCCACCCAGGGATCCCCCCATAAGGGTAGCTTTAAACACAAAATAGTGAAAGATGACGAGTGCCACTGAGCGTGCGGAGCAGGTGGGCCCCTGTGTGCTACTGGTGGGAATGTAACCCGGTGCCAGCTGCAGGGGAAACCACCTGACAGATCCTCAAAGTTTAAACAGAGGTACCGGTGATCCAGCGATTCCACTTCTGGGGGGGGTACACCCAAGAGAGCCGGAAATGGACTCACACAAAAACTTACAAAGGTTCAAGGCTTCATTCTCTGTAACAACCCAGATCATCCCTCACCAGACGGATAAACACAACACAGCAAATCCACACAATGGAATAGTACTTGCCATAAAAGGAATGGAGCATGACACCTACCGCAGGGATGGAAGCCTCTCTGCCCCCCGAGATGCCTGGACAGAGAGAGGGCACGGGCTAGGGCTCCACGTATGTGAAATGTCCGGGACAGGCAAATCCACAGTGGCAGAAAGTAGACAGGTGGTTCCGGGGCTGGGGGCACCGCGAGCCACTGCTAATGTGCAGGGTTCCCAGGTGATGAGAGTGGTGGCTGTGACTACAAACACTGTGACTGCACTCATGTCACTAATGGTAGATTTTTTTAAAATTTTTTTATTTATTTATGATAGTCACACAGAGAGAGAGAGAGAGGCAGAGACACAGGCAGAGGGAGAAGCAGGCTCCATGCACCGGGAGTCCGACGTGGGATTTGATCCCGGGTCTCCAGGATCGCGCCCTGGGCTAAAGGCAGGTGCTAAACCGCTGCGCCACCCAGGGATCCCCACTAATGGTAGATTTTATGTTAGGTGCGTTTACCACGATTTAAAGAGAGACCCAAGCAAATCTGTGTGCATTCTCCTTCACTCTGAGACAGGAGGGCTAAGGTCTTGGAAGTCAGAAGAGGTGTGGCCGACTAAGGCAGTGAGCTGCACACGGGGGAATCAAACAATGACTCATGACCAGGGACCTCATTAAACCCAAGCACCTGACATGGGTGCGGAGGTGAGACAGGGGTTTCTGGAGGAGTAACCAGGGAGAGAGCCTGCAGTCAGGCTCAGCCCGCAGAGAAGCTGCTTATTCAGCAGATCTAGATGCTGTGCCCCAAGGAGAGGGTGTCTGATGTATCTACCTTGGGAAAAGGAAAGAAATCACAATGCTGAAATTCTTGATCTTTAGGGGTGCCCGGTAGCTCAGTCCGTCGGGTGTCCCGACTCTCAGTTTCAGCTCAGGCTGTGGGATCAAACCATGCATCAGGCTCTGTACTCAGCAGGGCCTCTGCTCTAGGTTCTCTCCCCCTCTCCCTCTGCCCCTCCTTGCACATGCACTCGCGCTCTCTCTCTCAAATAATACTTAAAATCTTAAAAAAAAAAAAAAAAAAGCTCTGTCTTTAAAGAGCACACTGTCCACCGGGGCACAGTGGGAAGGCACCCTAAGACTCTCCATCCAAGAATGAGGGGCTCCCTTCAAAGGGACGCGAGTACCCACACCTACCTGGTGGAGGAGCAAGAGGGGATGTGCTCAGCATCAGCTCCTGGACTAGGACAGCCGCCGGCACACCTGGTGACTGGGTCTGGATGGGAAATCTGCTTTCATCAGCCCAGGCAGACCTAAGGGTGGTGAAGCCATTGGTGAAGTACACTGGCTGAGGGACACGGGTCCTCAGCAGTGGCTTCACATCGGAGTCCCCTTCACGGCCCTGAGGCCACAGCCCGACCACACCTGGACGGGGCCAAGCAGCCTGAGTGATTCCAGGAACAGCCAAGTGGAGCAGCACGGCTGGGAAGCCTGCTTTCAGTGGCTCTGGCCACCCCCTCGTCCCAGTCTCCTGGGCCCTGGCGGAGACTCCGCCCCCACGCAGAGCCTGCTGAGACCTCTGCAACCCTGTCGCCAGAGGCTATTTCCTGGGTGTTCTTCTCCTTGGAGCTCTTGGCAAGTTTAGGCGAGTGAAGTCAGATGCAGATCCCAACCCATGAGGGCAGACCGCTCCTTTCCTGAGCAGTCTCTGAATCCCTAAGTGACGTGGGACCCGAAGGCTGAGCGCAGAGGACAGTGCATTACAAGTATTACTGATGTTGAGTTTCCCGGTCAGCAGTAAATACACGTGAGACATCTGAAAGGTGTACAGGTGGAAGTCTCCCTCCTGGGCCCAAGACGGATGCGTGTTACTGGTTTCTTATACGTCCCTCCAGAAATCATTCATTCATTCATTTATTCATTTAGAGAGGAGAGAGAGAGAATCTCAAGCAGACTTCTACTGAGTGTGGAGCTGGACACGGGGCTCAATCTCACACCCTGAATGGTGACCTGTGGCGTAATCAAAAGTCAGATGCTTAAGTGACTATACCACTCAGGCACCCCCCCACACAAATTATTTTTATGTAGTAAAAGTGATTTTTGCGTGTTGGCTATATTTAATTTTATATAGTACATTGTTTTTTAGGCCTTCATTTATTGGGTAGAAAACTTAGAAAGAAAAGCATTCCCAACTAATATTCTCATTAGAGTTATATGAGTCAAACTACAAATAAAATACTAAGGTACGATTGAGGTGGGATCGCTGATAATCTTAAACTAGTTTCTCACAAATTCGTTTTGATTTCAGATCAGTTTATGACCTTCTACAAATGTCTTAATGGCTGGATCACAGTTTTTTTTTTTTTAAGATTTTATTTATTTATTCATGAGAGACCCAGAGAGAGAGAGAAGCAGAGACGCAGGCAGAGGGAGAAGCAGGCTCCCTGCAGGAAGCCTGACATGGGACTCCATCTAGGGACCCCAGGGTCACGCCCTGGGCTGAAGGGAGAAACCTAATTGCTGAGCCCCCCAGGCATCCCTATTTTCTCTATTTTTAAAGTAATCTCTGTGCCCAACGTGGGGCTCAAATGCAGGACCCCGAGACCAGAATGGCATGCTTCACCCACTGAGCCAGGCAGGAGCCCCAGACCATTTTCACTTTTCAAACACAGGACAGGGTAGCCCCGGTGGCACAGTGGTTTAGCGCCGCCTGCAGCCCAGGGTGTGATCCTGGAAACCCGGGATCGAGTCCCACATCGGGCTCCCTGCATGGGGCCTGCTTCTCCCTCTGCCTGTGTCTCTGTCTCTCTCTCTGTCTCTCATGAATAAATAAATAAAATATTAACAAACACAGGACATCTTTTCGTTTTAGGGGAGGTAGGTGTGGGTAGAGGCAGAGGGACAGGGAGACAGAATCTCAAGCAGGCTCCACACTCAGCGGGGAGCCCAACGCAGGGCACAGGACCACACCTTGAGATCATGACCTGAGCCAAAACCGAGAGTCGGACGCTTAACGGATGGATCCCCCCCAGGGCCCCAACACACGGCACCTTTAAGCAAGTGCATGGAAAGGTCTATTACTGGCAGAACTGGTTCAATGACCACTTGTGATCAATTACAAGACATTTGATGGAGATAAGCACTGTGAATAGCGTGTGTTGTGAGTCACAAAATCACAGAACATTCCGTCAAGCTCTGGAACCTGTATATACTTTGGGGCCATAGGAGCTGATAGTTTTATTTATAACCTTGTAAACTGCTATTTATGTATGAAACAAAGAGGAAAACATGGGGAAGGGGTTGTGTTGACAGAAGGATTCTTTACTGTGTGACTGTTCTTCAATGTAAACATTTTTAGTACAAACTTAAGGGCATCAAGTAAAGTAATACAATCCCACGGTGTGTCCACTACCAAAGACAAAAATAAAACCAATCTCGTTTAAAAAAAGAGAAAGATTATTAGCACCCAAATTAAAGAACCCTGAATATGCATCCAAATGGTCTAAAATACGAAAACTGTCGATTTTGAAGCTGGGTCTGGTAGGCAGCTCTACCTCCTTTGTGCCTTGCGGCTTTCGGCAGACGTGGTAACGAAGGCGGGATCTCCTCGTCCAGCTACGGGTTTCTCGCTGGGAAGATGAGGAGATGTCTGCGGAGAGCCCACTCCATGCCCCTGGCCACTGTCACCATGTTCCTCGAGCTGTTTATCCTGTGTGTCTACTTTCTCCAGACGCCGGGACACCGGACCTGGCTCGCTTGCCGCCTCCCTCCTGTGAAACGTACTGCTTCGCGTCTGGAGCTGCCCAGGGCCCAGCGAGCCACGCGTGACCTTCCGAGAGCCTGAGCTTCTGGAAGCAGCACAGGCTCTGTGTGAAGATCCCCAAAGCCTTCCGGTGAGGTCTGGTGAGCTGCCACCCTCGGGAACGGCCTGTCAGGGTGCTTGACAAAGCGCGTCCCCCTCCCACTGGTGGTTTACGGGTGATTCAGATGGCCTGGAAATGAACGCTTTCACTCAACAGTCACATATACATTTACGTTTTAAAGATTTATTTGAGAGAAAGAGAGAGAGAGACTGCAAGTAGGGGAGAGACACAGGGACAGAAAGAATCTCAAGCAGACTCCCTGCCGAGCATGGAGCCCGACGTGGTCGCACGACCCTGACATCACGACCTGAGCTGAAACCAAGGGTCAGAAGCTTATCGGACTGCGCCGTCCGGGCGTCCCTGCCACATCCGTGGTTTTCACAGGTGACTTTCCACATATGGTTAAGTCCTTGTGGTCTTAGGTATCTGGTAACTGATCAACTTTCCTTTGCTGTTTATTTTGAGATTACTGGTATAGAGGAGGTTGCAAAGATCACCCTGACAGGTCTGGTCTCGCCCTCCAGCCAGTGTCCCCTGTCGTCATAGCACAACTACAGCATCAAAACCAGAAAACAGTTTTTCTAAATGGCAGGTGCCATTTTATCATGTGCATGCACTCGTGCGTGTCAGCATACAGAACCATTCTAACACAAGTCTCCCTGGTGTGAGCTCTTTAGAGTCATACCCACCAAGGCCTCCCTGCCATCTCTAACCTCTGGCCATCACAGATCTGTTCTCCACTTCAAAAATTTTGTCATTTTGAGAATGTTATGTAAACAGTCACAGTGCCTGAACTTCAAAACTGGCTTTCTAAAAAAAAAAAAAAAAGAAAGAAAAAAAAAAAAAGAAACTGGCTTTCTTCACTCATCATGATGCCCCTTGAGGTCCACCTACGTTGTCCATTACTTTTTTTTTTTTCCAAAGATTTTATTTATCCATGAGAGACACAGAAAGAGGCAGAGACACAGGTAGACGGAGAAGCTGGCTCCATGCAGGGAGCCGATCAGGACTCGATCCTGGAACTCCAGGATCACGCCCTGGGCTGAAGGCAGGTGCCAAACCGCTGAGCCAACCCAGGGATCCCCTGATCTTTTTTCCATTATACAGTGTTCCACTCTGTCCGTGGTTATTTTATTTTTAAATGATTTATTTATGTGAGAGAAAGGGAGAGGGTACACATGCATGAGTTGGGGGAAGCTACAGAGAGAGAGAAAGAGAAGCAGGCTCCCCGCCCCCCTCTATCAGGGAACCCAATGCAGGGCAGGATCCCAGGACCCTGAGATCATGACCCAAGCCAAAGGCAGCCGCCCAGCTGACCAAGCCACCCAGGTGCCCCCAGGTCCCTAGTTATTTTCTTAGTTATTCGTCTTTTTTTTTTTCCTAAGATTTTATCTATTTATTCATGAGAGACACAGAGAGAGCGCGAGAGAGGTAGAGACACAGGCAGAGGGAGGAGCAGGCTCCATGCAGGGAGCCTGACGCAGGACTCGATCCTGGGACTCCAGGATCAGGCCCTGGGCCGAAGGCAGGCGCCAAACCCACTGAGCCACTCAGGGATCCCGAGTTACTCCTCTTTTGATTAAAGTTTGCATGGTTTATCTTTTCCTATCCTTTCACTTTCAATCCACCTGTATCATTAAATATATACGAAATATTATTTATCCAAGTAATCTCTAAACACAACATGGGGCCTGAACTCATGACTCTCAGATCAAGAGTCATACGCTGTTCTGAGCCAACCAGGGCACCCCACAAACCATCATATTTAAAGTAGGTTTCTTTCAGACAGCATATGGGTCAACTTTTTTTCTATAAATACACTCTAACAATCTTTTATTTTCAGACATTTTCTTTTTTTTTTTAAGATTTATTTATTCATGATAGAGAGAGGCAGAGACACAGGAGGAGGGAGAAGTAGGCTCCATGCTGGGAGCCCGAAACGGACTCGATCCCGATCCCAGGACTCCAGGATCAAGCCCTGACAAAGGCAGGCGTTAAACCGCTGAGCCACCCAAGGATCCCCCAGACATTTTCTTTTAAGGAAATCATTGATATGTTAGGCCTTTAATCTGCCTTTTTGTTTTGTTGGTTCCCTGTCTTTTGTGTCTTGTTTTTCTCCTTCCTGACTTCCTATGGCTGCTTAACGTCATGTAGAATTCTAGTTGCTTTGGCGCTCGCGGTTTGCTTAGATTGAGTGGCAGCTCTGGGTATCACATTAGACACACTTAACTTATCACAATGACTGGCGTCAGCATTTTACTGACTCAGACAGAAGCAGGAAAACCTTACATCCCTGTGTCCTCCGACCTCCTCCTGGACAGCCCCTTCCTCCACAGACACTGAGAACCACAGGAGTGTAACACATCCTGCTTCAACCACCAAACATGACTCAGGAAAGTTTACTGGATTTACTCATAGTTTTGCTTTTTCTATTTTTTTCTTCCCAACACTCCAAGACCCCTTCTACCATTTCCTTTCTTTCAAGAATTTATTTGGGATCCCCAGGTGGCTCAGCGGTTTAGTGCTGCCTTCAGCCCAGGGCATGATCCTGAGGTCCCGGGATTGAGTCCCACATCAGGCTCCCCGCATGTTGCCTGCTTCTCCCTCTGCCTGCATCTCTGCCTCTCTCTCTGTGTCTCTCATGTACAAATAAAATCTTTTTTAAAAAATAAAATAAAGTGTATTTAACAGAAGAAATGAGGAGCACCTGGGTGGCTCAGTCGGTTGAGAGGCCGACTCTTGATTTTGGCTCAGGTCACAATCTCTAGGTCATGGGTTTGAGCCCCGCATCAGGCTCTGTGCTGGGTGTGGAGTCTCCTTGGGACTCTCTCTCCCCCTGTCCCCCGTCTCCCTGCTCACAGGCACTCTCTCAAATAAATAAATCCTAAAAAAAAAAAGAGAAAGATTCTCTCTCCCTTTCCCTCTGCCCCTCCACCCCACTTGTGCTCTCTCCCCCCCCCCTCAAATAAATAAATAGAAGTAAGTTGATTAAAGAAAAGTACTACATGAAATGACTCTATAGGTAAGCTGCAAGTATGCCAGAGGTCCTGAGAGTGGTTGGTGAGTGAACTCTGGAGGAATGCAGATGGTGGAGCAGAGAAGCTGGAACCCTCCGCCGTTGCCCTGTGCCAGCTGAGATCTGCTCTC